ATTTACTTCCATGCAATCTCCACGGATATGTCTATCTACGAACTTGTCGAAGATTCCCGAGTTGTTACGATTGTACCATCATATGCAATCTCCTTATGCATGTATATAAATAGACAACAACAAAATAAACATGATGCATACATGTAAGAGTTTATATGTTCATGTGGCACTTTTTTCTATTGTAATCGTGACCGACCGTTCCTAAGATATGCTATCCTAGAAATACGTTTTGTCAATTTGATAGGAACAGAAGACGGTTCCGGTGTTCCATATGTAATTAATTACACACCTGGCGTGTACAGCAAAAGCAGGTGATCATGTAATGAGTAGGAAAACCGGTTTTATACAAAAAGAGCACCGAAACAAGTTTTGATATGTACATAAGAGGGGTTTAGCCTAGTGTTTTGATGTTCTGTCTCTTTGCATAAGTGAATTTCTGAATATGACTTTAGAAAGGTCTAAAGAATAAACTATACAGTATCCTAGATTAGAGACCTACTATTAAAATATTCCACGCCAGTTGAAAAAATAGAGCTTGCTCGCTGATTGGCTAAATTGTTTATTAGAATTATAGCTGGCAGCATATTTGAACCACAGACACTTGGGGTTTGGAGCTCAAAACGCCTTTAAAATCCAAATAAAATGCATATTTGTCAATCCCAGCACATGTACTGATATATCAAAAAAAAACTTAATATAAGCCGTTTTAAAAAAAATTCATATTTCAACATCTATAATCTGATAATTATTATTGTCTGTGATTTGTACAACTGTATCAAGTCTGCATTTTTGGGGGACTGGTCTCAAGGGATGACCCCATTTTGGACTCGAACCCACCCACGATCTAGAGGCAGACAACCTTATCACAGCATTCCACCTTTTTTCACAAACAAGATTATTAAAATTTCAATATCGTGTTAAAGGACAGCAAAAACAATAATAAAACAACAACAACGTTGAACAAAAACAAATAACAAAAACAAAAAAAAATAAATACAACCGTCTGCATGCATTTGCGTGGTGTTTGTGAATTCCTCTCAATTTGCTAACTATGTGTGTTTAATTATGTTAATTTCTATATTAGCATTTATTATTATATAATATAGGTATTTTTCATTTAAACAGTAAATTAATTGCATTTTGATATTTTAAGAACATTATGTCACTATTTCACATAAGACCCGGCAGTTTTTCAGTAGTATCGCTAGTTTGATATCCGGTATTATACTGAGGAAAAATGACCTTCCATAAGAGTATTAAAACCTTTTTTATGCAATTAAAATCGTCAGTATAAGATACTGTCTTAAGGGCCCTTTCTGTCCCAGAAATGCATTTGTTTCGATTTATCAAAAGTTTTTATTTTTTGATGCGACGTTAGACATTGGTCAATTACCATTACCTTACATAATTTCAGCAAAAAATGTTTTACTCTTTCCTAGTTACTGTAGCACAAAAGCGCTGAAAATTGTTTCCTTGAACGGATTTCAGCGTTATTCATTCTTGCTGATGAATGGATGTCGATATTATCATTTAAAAGAGGCCAACGGCTGATGATGTTACTCAAATTTTGACGACACTCAAACTTAAATACTCTATAACTTAAACAGAAAAACATTTTGAAGGTATGGTTTGGAATATTTAATGAAGAAATGTTGACGTTTACGAATCCGAAAAGAAAACATAGCGATGAGAAATCTCCCCCATAAGGACTGTCATTTTCTGAAAGGCGTAAACATTGTGCAGTTTTTGCGCTCTTTGGCAGTAGATATTTTAAAGCTTCCATTCGCATAGTGCAAATTATTATATCTACTATCATGGTAGGTGTTTTCATGGTTTTATAACTACAAGTTTTTATATATTGTCTACTTTACATAATCAAATCTTGTCAATAATGTAACAATGTAAAGTGAATTGATGTAAACCTTTTTCCCATTACCCATTAAAGCGTGTGGCCATCGTTTATCAGTTCGAATTACTGGAGTCTACGTATCTCTTAGCTCTTTTTCTGTTTTGTGTCAAGAACAAAGTTCCGCTATTTTTTCGTTGTGTTAATTATTTAGATTTGAAAAAAAATCCGCTAGGTCTTCGCTGTATTTTAAATTATGTCAATTATTTAGATTTGAATACCGTTTCACTGGATTTTCGATCGCTTTATTCTGATTTCTGTCAATTATTTAGACTGAGCAAAATTTCACTAGATTTTCGTCTCATGTAAATTGTGTCGGTCATGAAGATTTGTGTGTGCAAATGATTATTCCTCAAGGTGTCAAATGATTATTCCTCAAGGTGTCAAATGATTATTCCTCAACGTGTCAAATGATTATTCCTCAACGTGTCAAATGATAAAGATTATTCCTCAAGGTGAAAGAATCTGTCCGGCTAGCTTACGGAAAGTCGATAGTTCTTCTCAGGTGCCCGTTCGTGCTTGGAAAATTGCAATTAATGCCAACAAAACAGACAAACAGGCAACAAAGTCTTTGATACACAATTAAGAGACGATCATAATTCTAAACAACTGTATAATTTCAGAGAACAGAGATGTCAACAAACCCCTCTGTAGACAACACGACGAAAGCAATGCGGGGTTTTCTAAAAATCGATCAGCAGTTTATCCTGCCTTCTACGATTATGATTACGGTACAATGTATAACTTCGATTCTGAAACTTTTTTTTCAGTCAGTTCCGGTTACAACTTAATTTTTTCTATGGAACTACATCAGTTTTGTCATTGTGTTGCTTTACTTTGTCGGCATCAACATCGTTATCACTGTTCTTCTGCAGAAACGGAGCCTCAGTGTATATCACGTCTCTAGCGGTTGCAGACTATGTCGTCTGCTACAGCGTTATGGAAGGTTGGCTCGTGCTGTAAAAGTTCGTGAAAATACATGTATCTACTCCTACATTGGTGTATGCTGAGATTTTTTTACCAAAAGCTGGACAATACATGTCAGCCTGTATGTTGGTCAATATATCCATAGAAAGGCTATTAAGTGTAAAATTACCACATAAAGTCAAAAAACATTTGCTCCGTGAAATTAGCACGCTGTTTTGTTGCTTTTGTTTGGCTTCTGACCTTTGCTAAAACTACACTGAATGCGAGAATTGTTTCAGTGATTGCAGAGTTTGATGAACCCGATTTGTCATAAGCATGGCTAAATATAAGGATATTTATATTACAGGTCAAGTCTTTTATTCGGTCTGTAATTGCAGTTATAATTCCCTACCCGATCATCTTGTTTTGTACAATTTTGACAATAAGCGTCCTTTTGCATAGGAAAATAAGAAAAAGTAGGTCAAACAAATCAGGAATAAAGTCCATCAGCCTCTCTTTGATTCTGGTAAATTTGGTGTACCTTGTAAGAGTTACCCCAAGCGTATACGCTGTATTGGCTTCGCGTAAGCGGGCATTTGAAGACTACTATGTTCATAGCTTAATCTATTGACTTCTTGGGATTCATTCACCTTGCTGTAATATTTTTAATATATTTTCTTAGTTGGTCAAGGTATCGTCAAGAAACGAGATTTTTGTTGAATGGTTGCCTGGTGAAGATTCTCGCGCTCAGCCCCTGTGTTCATAGCGCTTTAAATAAAGGGACATTACTTCAGCATTAAACAAGACATTTGAAGTCTGAATTCGCTCCATTGATCCTGATAGTTTTGATAACAGTACAATAACATGAACATTCGATATGTTTCGTATCTTTCCGTGTTTTCTAGAGACCAAATATGCGTAAGTATGACCAAAAGTTACAATCATCTTATTATCTAGATGCTTTATTAACACAAAGTTTATTCGGTTATGTATGCTACCACGGTCTGTTCCTAACTGACAATGAATCAGCAGTGTAAATTAAATCCGCGGCAGTGGTTTGTGTGACTTAGTTTAAGCACGAATTTATATTATATGTAATAAAAATCCGTGGTTTTAAGTTAGGATATTTTCAATTGCCAGTACTTTGAGTTCATAAGGTAAAAGGTCAAGGTAACTGTGACCTTAGCCACTAAAGACAACTTGAGAACGCTCTTTCAGTGTGTGGTTTGTCATGACTAGTAGATAACAATAATTGATTCCGAGGGGTCAATGTCACCATGGCATTGGCTTCTAAAGTTCATTGGATCAATACTGTCCTAACATTTTATGTTAAAGTTTGTGAGACGAAAAGATTACCCCTATTCATTTCGAGGCACTAATTCAAACGAACAGCGACCCATTAGATGTGAGGTATCTAGGTCACTGTCATAATGGGAAAATACATTGTCCTATCAATCTCTGGGAGTCTTAGTTTATGAAAATATGTTTGGACATTTTGGAGCTTTTGGGGTTATTTGGTTAACGTCACAATATTACATGGATTTTGATAGCTTATAAAGTTTTCCTACCGACACATTTCTAGTTTTACAATTTTCATTTTTATTTTTCTTTAAATAAAACCATGCATTATATCGTTATACTTGCCTTGTATAGATGTATTAAAGTACATATAAAAATGTCCTCATATCGTATGTGTATTTTAATTCGTTTCAATGGATGCCATCTTTACATTACCATTAAACTATAAAATCTTAATTTTCATTTTTTACAAATTTGGATAGTTTACAAAATCCACAAGGTCTATTGTATATTGATTGTATAGCTCTATCATGGACGTCTATTATTCATAGTATAATAAGTTAAAGACTGTCAATAATGCACAGATAGCTTTAACTGAAAAGAAAATGACAACAACAAACAAACTTGCACGAAAATCACGAGTATAATCGATATCTAATTCCATTTTAACAGGCTTAAAGTCTATTTATAGAATTTATTTGTAAATGATATTTTAGTGTCAATTTATATTTTCTATGTGAATATTTAATAATTTCTTTTATGTATGTGATTTTGGAACATTATTATGAAGTTAATATTTCGCTTTGAATGGCATTGTTTTTGTAACTAGTACACTGAACCTTGTCTACGATGTCAAGATGGAAATATTCAAGGAAAACAAGAAACAATAAAAGATTAGATTTATTTTATTTGCATAGGAACTGTTAAGCAGGAAAATTAGCTTTCATGACATAAAATAGGAAAAGATATAACAAAAATGAGCTATTAAAGCGCCGGTATAGCAAAGATCAATGTCATTTTTTTTCATGGAACCTGGTGAACTTTTTACTATTATAGCAAGATGAAAAATCTTCCAAAGCAAACAACCGTCACCGTAAAATCGTGAAAACAAGAATAATTAAAATATACTTTATTTACAAAAAATGGCAATTTAACAAAACTTTTCACGAGCTATTTATATGTGTGGGTTCCTTTCGCAAACATTTCTCACTTTTATTTCTCACCGAATTGAAAAATAATCCAATCAGATCTAAAGTATTTAAATTCTCTATACATTTTAGTCCATTTTTAGAAATGTGTCCTAGAAATAACATTTTTGCTACAAAAATATAACGTTAATAAAATATGTCATACAATATATTTAAGGAGCATATATCTGTAACCGACGCCAGCGGCGGATTTTTAATTAATAAGTATATTTATTTGCTTACTAACATGAATATTTAAAAAAAAATAGATGTACATAGAAGAACAAACAACTTATACACAGCGGTTTTTAACCAACGTTCAGTCTTTTATACAAAATGCACTTATAAAACAAATTTAACAACATAATTATACAGTCAAAATTGTATTAAGCGACCGCGCAAAGGGAAACACCATAGATGGTCGCCTAAGACAAGTGTCTCTTAAGACAAAGCACGAGAAAAAAAGTGAAAAGTTATTCATAATATCTTTCAAGTATATCTCATACACAGAAAAAAACACAAAATAAATCAATCAATACTCATGTACACGTTATTCATAAATGCACAAGTTAAACAAATAAAATGTCACTAAAATTGCATAAGAAAGTGTATAGAATTTTCTTGTAAAATTTATCACAGACTGTTATTGACGCATGTTAACAAAAGCAATGAAACCTCAATCATGTTAATAAAAGCCATGATAACTCAATCATGTTAACAAAAGCCATGAAACCTCTATCATGTTAACAAAAGCAATGAAACCTCAATCATGTTAACAAAAGCAATGATAACTCAATCTGATTAATATTTCAACATACACAAAAATAGAGCTACAGCTTTATTCAATGGTAGAATACCACCTCATCGCGCCCCTGCAAAATGCTACAAATCCGACTGGTGTTTTTTGTTGACTCGAAGATAAAAAAATTTTTTTTATTGTAAGAAATCGTTACAATATAAAATAAAATGGTTTTAGTACTTGATATAATTAAAATAAAATCATTTAAAGTTTTACTGTCTGGTTTAAGTCTGAAACAGGATACAATTTGTTTGGGAGTCCGAGTGGAAGCATTTATGAAAAAAACTTTATCCTGTTTTTCAGGAATAAACTAGGCAGTAAAACTTTAAAAGTTTTTTTTAGTTATGTCAAGTCGACCGGAGGTTTTTGCAAAAACAGGTGTGCGATGACGTAGTATCCTACCATTGTTTAAATACACTTTTTACATGCAAACAAGTAACCTTAAAATTCCAAATTTTTTTACTGATTATCAAAAAGCAATAGGCCCCTAATAACCCTATTAATATAAAATAATTTCACATGAAAATACCAGTATATATCTTGTAGATAAAGTTAAAGGGTATAAAGCTATATATCTGATGCAAAAAAATGATTAAATTTTTAAAAAAGTATACTTCCAAAATGCTTGTATTGTAATGTATTGCCTTAAAATCGAAAGGCGCATGCAAAAATCATTGCTAAACGGATAAAACCCTTCTAAAAATAGCAAATAATATTTTGTTCTGGAACATTTTATTCTGTTAACGAACATTATTCATTAGTGTTAAATAACAGAGACATTCTATGTTACAACTTTTTCGGGAATCAACCATATAATAATGGAACCAATATAATATAATCATACACAATCATGTATTACATTTGTAAGCTAATACGATGATTTTAAAGTTAAATGTGTTAAAATTGTTCTAAATTTCCTTTGCCATACTGAAAGACGTTTATACAATTTGTATATCTACAGAACAAAACATTATTTTATGTTTGACTTGTACATAGTACATTATTATAAATAATACGATAATACATTGATCAAAAATGTGATAATACATTGATCAAAATGCATAAACAATACATTTTCAATACTAGTTTTCAATGAGTTACATGTATAACACACTGTAAAGACAATGTCATGTTACATTTTAAAGACGTTAGTGCCATCCAAAGAGAACGCTGCATTTTTAAAAAAAGATATGTGTTAATTTTCCTAGAAGAACAAATGTCGATACTATATCAAATTCTGTTCATAGTAACCTTCTATTTTTCATAGTGATTCATTGAACCGCGTTCGTAAAAAAAGTCTTGACGTTATAAAGTGAATATTTATGAAGTCAAATAAAGCTTGACACTAAATATGTTAGTATTTATCTGAAGCTGTTCTACAGAGATTAGAAACTTCGACGGGAGCGAGATAGCGTCACTAACATATCATATTCTTAGTAATAATTCTAGAACGTCATTTCAATTCACATAATGATGCTTTTTAAGTTATAAATGATAATAGTTTATAGTTGAGCACAACTTGTGAAGATTAGGAGACAAACATTCCACTTCAAGACAGCAGAATCACTGCAGTGAGAGTTGTCTGCAACAGCGAAATACAAAGGAGGAAACTCTGTGTCCAATGACGACGATTTGTTTCTAAAACACAAGAAAAAAATAATGGCATTGAAATGCTAAGGATTCTCTAATAGATGTACAGTATAAGATTTAGATGTTTACGTCAACTAATTAACTGGCTGACTGATGGACGGACGAACTTACTAACTCATGGACGGACGGACAGGCATTCTCCCTCAGATGTCGTTATGGGGTTATATTTTTATCTCTAAATTCCTATAAGCATCCTATTTCCACCCAATAAACAACATTTTTCCCTACAAGTACAAGTTACAATAAACAGTTTACTAAGAGTTTATAATAATAAACATTTTCTTTTTAAAATATCACTTTTAGAAGATGATTAAATCTTATCTTGATTCATTTAAATAATGCATCTAAAGAGCCAAAGAACACGGGTAAAATAATTTACCTCCGCCATTACATTCTCTGTCTTCTGTTGCACCGCAATTTACCTGGAATGAATCAATTGCTATTCAAATACCATTTACAGTGTATAAGCATTAGATAAACAAATGAAAACTTATGTAAATCTACATCCTATCATTTTTCACAAATTAAGCAGGTCCTACCGCTAAGCTAGTTAGCATGTACGACGTAAGCAAGGCTAACTAAATAGTGCTACTATCGTTCGACATTAGGTTTCTGGTAAATTATATATAAATGGATCTTTCTAAAACCAATTTTAACAACTACAAAAATTATAACGAGTATACATTGAATAATTTCAAATGCATTTTGATAAAAAGATTTAATTGTGAGTAGCACTCTTTCGTTTATTATCTTTATATTTTTATTTATTTCATGTATAATTCATGGTTACGCCGATGAATTTATGACACTAAACCGCCGCATAGTTCTGGAATACGAACAAAAGGACTGTAAAATAAAGATGAACAATAATGCAATAAATTGAACAATTATGAAAGTAGAAAACTTTGTTTAGCATCTAAGGAAGTAATACATGTTTCTTTCATGCTTTATTGATGTTTATATAATGACAATTTTGTTTGGAAATATCGAATTGAAACATCAAATTTCCGGTAATTGTTGCTGTTCCGAAAAAAGCATGTATGACAGAAAAATGACATAGCATAAACGTAATATTACACTGAAAATGGAGAAATGAGACCTAAAATAACACATTTGCTACTTTCTCTCAATATTGTGGATATATGTATATGTATGTAAACACCTTGCTGCTTTGCCACAAATTTGATTTACTTAAACATTGTCAAACTTAGCAAAAGTAACAGAAAGACAAAAAAAGTCAGCGACCATATTCTGAAATTCTTATATTACTATAATTGTATGTTCTTATAATTTCCTTTTCCAGCAGTATAAAATGCTTAGAAAACTTCCAAATTTCTAATAAGAATCCTATATTTATCTTGTCACATCATAATACAGAAGGTGCCCTAAATTCATTCCTCCCTATGTCAAAAAGTCTTGTTAGGTAGTCGCTAAGAAAAAAACACACCAAAGAATAGGATATTTAAAAAACAATCAAAGTAAATTTAATGAATCTGCCAAATTTTTCAACATAGACTGCTTGGATTATTAGAAAATATAACTAGCACTGGGTAAATGCTTAGGATAATAAATCATGGCTATCCGTTGATATATGGTTCATGCTTAAGATAATGAATCATGGCTATCCGTTGATATATGGTTCATGCTTAAGACAATGAATCATGGCTATCCATTGATATATGGTTCATGCTTAGGATAATGAGTCATGGCTATCCGTTGATATATGGTTCATGCTTAGGATAATGAATCATGGCTATAGTTGATATATGGTTCATGCAATATTATACATACATCATATAAGTTGCAAAGCGATATTAAATAAAGCGAGATTAAACTTCCGACACCATTATTACGTAATTGCCAAAGGAGAATTATCAGGTTACAGTTTCGACAAAGTGATATCACTTTCCTTTCCTTTGTTAAAATTATACTACACTCGAAGAAAACATCTTTAAATCTATAGTTCTTAAACTGATGCAACTGCAACTAAGAAAACACACAGCTTTTTGTCATTTAAACATGATCTTTAAATAAATTCAATGTAGGAAACGTCAGGACGTAAATGTACCATATGATACAAAATGAAATCTAGGAAACATGGACATTTAAAGTTGTTCACTCAAAGCATAGTAGCTAATATAATTTTTTTGACATCATGTATAAAATTTGTGTTTGCCTGCTTTATAAATACTTGCACTTTATTTTATGTGTGTTAACATGTTGCCTGACATTTGTGTATTTACATTTTGACATTTGAACTTGTACAATTTGCCATTCAAATATGTACATTTTGCCATTTGATCTTGTACATTTTGCCATTCAAATATGTACATTTTGCCATTTGAATAATTATGTACATTTTGTCTTTGGAACATGTACAATTTGCCATTTGAATACGTACATTTTGTCTTTGGAATATGTACATTTTCCATTGAAATATGTACATTTTGCTATTAATTACTCATTTAAAATATAAAAATATGATATTTGGTCAAAATACTAAAGAGTATAAAACTATACAGAATACTGTTTGTAATTGATACAATTTATTTTATCTGTTTTTTAAAATACTCATACCAAAGTACATGCATATAACTGGAAGAATTGTGGAAGCATATTTTCGGTGAAAAATAACACATGACTATTTCAATGCAGCTTTTTTTATTCTGTTTCTCATACCATTATTGTGTACTAAAGAAAAAAGACACTTTTAAATATCACATTACTTATCACATAAACTAAGTGATACAAGTACAAAGAGCATGCATTTCTATGGCGGAATATTGAACTTTTTCATTCAGATAGGTAAAGGGTCTCTACTTTCTATTTGATTTAAGGGCCAATTAAGTCATACCCCATGTTTATCTATCAAATGTTTCATTTGATTATTTTCTGTTTCCTATTTTTGATGATTTTAAGAACAAATCTTTGTGTGTTTCACCTGTAGACATTTTTGTGAAGATTGTCTTCTGATGCAACCACACGTGAACAATTAATTTTCCTGCCTAAAATATTTACAAGACATGTGATAGAATAATTTTATATATTAATACATGCAATCCATAAATATAACTGTTTTAAAGAAAGTATTTCTTTTCATTTTCACTTCCCCTGGCCTGTAAACCGATGTGTTGTATACATATATGTGTTGGTATATGTAGTTGCAACCTTTGCTTGCTTTATTTCCTATTTGTAAACTTTAGTTTATGGGCCTGTTACAATGATACATACATGCAATAAAACAATAAATGAGGCGGCTTCATTAGATATTATTTAAAGATGGGAAAAAGCATGTTATTATGTTATTGCGTTTATTTAATGCTGTAGAAATGATTATAATAAAAAACAAAGCAAATTCCTGAATTGATATACCCCGCCAGATGATACAAATTACTTGATTAAAGGCTCTTGTACTATATACTCGTACATTTGAGTATTATTATGATACAAAGTCCACAATACCCACAAAGCCCATAATACCCGCAAAGCCCATAATAACCACAAAGCCCATAATAACCACAAATCCCATAATGCCCACAAAGCCCATAATACCCACAAAGCCCAAAATAACCACAAAGTCCATAATACCCACAAAGCCCATAATAACCACAAAGCCCAAAATAACCACAAAGCCCATAATGCCCACAAAGCCCATAATACCCACAAAGCCCAAAATACCCACAAAGCCCAAAATACCCACAAAGCCCAAAATACCCACAAAGCCCCTAATGCCCACAAAGCCCAAAATACCCACAAAGCCCAAAATACCCACAAAGCCCAAAATTACCACAAAGCCCATAATACCCACAAAGCCCAAAATAACCACAAAGTCCATAATACCCACAAGTCCATAATGCCAATAAAGCCAATAATACCCACAATACCTTCAAAGCCCACAATACCCACAAAGCCAACAATAACCGCAAAACTGAGCACTGTCAAGCATAAGCACATCTTTTGAATTAAAACAGTATTTTGACATGACGTTACATTAGTTGGCCATTCATTTGAACTATGCTGATTTAAATGTAATTAAAGTATGCAAATTTGTGCTCAAATTATTTAATTTGTTACATCCAGTTAGATCAGGAATGAAAATACATTCATTCTTTTTCAAAATTCTTATTAGATAAATAAATAATTCCTATAAATAAATAAATTCCTATTAATAAAATAAATAAATAAATGAATTTGAAATAAATTAAATTTGAAATACTTTTAGATAAAAAAAAAATTAATTAAAACCAAAAACCTCGATCACCCGGACAGACAACGTCAAATCAACCGCCAAGGGGTTTCACCAGAAGGCCTATCATATCGGAACAAAGGGATATATACAGAATTTAAAATATTTTTCTTTTACAATTAACCTGTACAATTTGCCATCACCAATAAAGATGATTATAGTTATATATAGGCATGGGGTGTTGAATGTTTACCTATTTCCATTTTGTCGACGTGCTCTACATGTTCCCGTTCTAATTCTCTATATAACGCAATGTAATGTCATGTAATCAATTATTACATCATAAAACTACACTACGTCATTAAACGTAGCCGTTACCAATCTCCCCCCCCCCATATTTTACTTTCATGCACTATACATAGATCTACACGTATATTATTCAATTTATTTATAAGGTCGATGATAACGCTGTTATATTCAACTTAGAGTAATAGAGTATATAAATAAAACAGCAAATTTGCTATATAAACAACATTTGTTCCATGATGCAATTTTTTAGTATACTGTGCTCCTCTAAGTTCACGGTACTTAACACTTTGAAACCAGAAAGAAAACAATAAATGAAACTTATGTACAAAAAGTGTCATAAGCTATAACATATGGGTATTTTTCTTTGTATGGCACAAGGAAACAACAATATATTCATTCAAAGTCAATTTTAATGGACCAAACGTAGACCATATTTTAAAAACAGTATGTCATCATTTAAATCGCGGTAATGGTGTTACATTTCAGTTCTTTCATGTTTCAGTTAAAATTTCTACATGTTATTTTGCTTGATTTTAAATATTAAAAACATCCTTACTTTGTAACTCAAAATTGATTTCTTCAACAATCAAGAACATTTAGAAAATGATGATTTTTTTTTCAGAAATACGCACAAATTTAATGGACTATTATTGCTATTTGCAGAAATTTGTAAAATGTTGTTCTGTTTTACGTAAAAATCTAGAGATTTAAAATATTTTGCACAAAAACTTTGTTGCATATGGGTATGAATAAAATATGTCAATTCTGACCAATTTCAACACAGGTCACATGAACATATGCCATTACAGTGAAGTAAGTGATGACGCGGAATTAGTGATGCTGATCGAGTGTATAATGTTGCCAAGAGCAGTATAATGATGCAAAGCCCAAAAAAATAGTTTCTTGAAAAATATTGATATTAAAAAATTATTTAGACATTATATTATGCCCTTCCACGTTTAAATGTTGAGTGCACAGGTAAACGTCATTTTTTATACTTTGTCTAATTGTGTCCAATCTTAAATGTTACAAAAATAAAAAATTATATATCCACATGACCCATGGACACTTCAATCTATATGTACTGATAACGTTCAATTTAAAAAAAAGGCAGTATTTTTTTAAAATAAAAGTAGTTTTACATTGTAATTGGTTTCTCTGAACTTTATGCGGCATTTTCCATATAATGTTTGCAAACTTTGTACAATTAATTTTTCAGAGAAAATAAAAATAAACCCATACCGTTGTAGATTCTGTTGTCGAACTAGTAGCTCCAGATGCTGTTGTTCCTGTTCCTGATGCTGTTGTTGTTGTTGTTGATGCTGTAGTCGATGCTCCTGTCGTTGTGTCGGCTGGTTCTGCAAAAAAATATTGAGAAATAAGCTTGAATGAAAATAATTATATGTTTTTTTGTGATAACCAGAAAAGGTGTTGAAAAAATACACAACTTGTTTCATTTGTAAATGGTAACACTTATTCCTTGTTACTACCACATACACTGCATGTCATGTAACACTTATTCCTTGTTCCTTACCACATAGACCGCGTGTCATGTAACACTTATTACTTGTTACTTACCACATAGACCGCATGTCATGTAACACTTATTCCTTGTTACTTACCACATAGACCGCATGTCATGAAACACTTATTCCTTGTTACTTACCACATAGACCGCATGTCATGTAACACTTATTCCTTGTTACTTACCACATATACCGCATGTCATGTAACACTTATTCCTTGTTACTTACCACATAGACCGCATGTCATGAAACACTTATTCCTTGTTACTTACCACATAGAGTGCATGTCATGTAACACTTATTTCTTGTTACTTACCACATAGACTGCATGTCATGTAACACTTATTCCTTGTTACTTACCACATAGACCGCATGTCATGTAACACTTATTTCTTGTTACTTACCACATAGACCGCATGTCATGAAACACTTATTCCTTGTTACTTACCACATAGAGTGCATGTCATGTAACACTTATTCCTTGTTACTTACCACATAGACAGCATGTCATGTCACACTTATTCCTTGTTACTTACCACATACACTGCATGTCATGTAACACTTATTCATTGTTACTTACCACATACACTGCATGTCATGTAACACTGATTCATTGTTACAACACTTTATCATTGTTACTTACCACATAGACCGCATGTCATGTAACACTTTGTCTCCATCACCTCATTTTTAGACTCACATTCTCCCCTGCCAGCTTTCACTATACAATCTGCTGTTGGAAGAACAGCGTCTTCACATGAGGCTACAAAAATGTATACTATGTTTATAAAGATTTACTTTTGAAATATTCTATTCATGTAAATCATTTAAACAGACAAACAGGTAAGCAAGGAAATCTGCTTTTAGCATTTCACTTTACCTAGGGGATATTTGTTCAAGATTTACACTTTTTAACTTTTATTTTAAACTCCGAAATAAAGGTGATGCATTTAAAGTTATATGCCCCCCCCCCCCCAGCTGAGCCAAAATATTTAAAAAAAAATAAAACTTGAGAAATTGTACTATAATTTTTCTTAAAAAAGTAAAAAATCCAAGATTTAAGTAATACATTATATGTTATATGCGACAAATGACTGATTTTGTCTGCGTTAACAACACACAGAAATGACTTTATTTTCCATATTTTGACCTCTTTGAGTTCATTAACATTAGTTGTTAGTACAGTTTGCAACGTGTAAATTATTGTCTTTGTTCACTACACAATATTTTACTTTTTAAATACATTTTCAAATTCGTCAGGAAAATTTGCAGCAATGTGAAGGTGTGCTGCACATAAAGCTGAGTTTGATATTTCTCTTCATCAACAAATTATCGGAATCACAGGGTTTGTATTTCAATATGATAATTATCAGTTCACAAACACATTAAAGTACAATTTGAAATTAGTTCTGAAAGTTATTTATTGTAATATCAATCTATGAGAAGATTCAGAGCTATGAAATAACCTTGAAGTGGGTTCTTTTGCATCTGCAAAAGCATATATTAGTTTTGAGCAAAAGTTGACCCCATCAGCTATAACACGAATGAAACGTTTAATTGTCAGACACTTACTGCTACAGTCGAGGTCACCATATCCTTTCGGGCATGCGCATCGGCAAGCTGTGGAGTTAAACACGCCCCCATTCTCACACGTGGTTATCTTGCATTCTTGACAATCTTTGCCTTTAAATGGATACCTAGAAAAGTGAGTAGATGCATAACCTTGTTGAATTTCACAAAATTAAATATGTTGTCCTGTTTTAAATAGATAGATATATTGTGGTATCACAGTGCATACAATATAAACAAACATGTTGTTATAACAAAATATATACGACAATATTGCATAAATACATCATGAGTATTTACCATGTTATGCAACATAAAGAACCAATGAATCCTGTAAAAATATGCTTGTCAGTTGTGTCAATAATATTAAAAGAAGCAGATTGGCCCAAGGATGTGTTTAGTGTAAGTGGGTCATGACATGCCCCTGGATTGGCTAGTAAGTGGTGCCCATCTGATATTTAGTATATCTTTTTTAGCGTAAATCACGCAAAAAGTTTGACACATGAAGCCCCTCTAGAAACTAGTAAAATGTAAAACCCCAATCCCTTGTAGAAATCTTGCAACCTCCTCTGGTAAAAAATTCTGGAACAGCGTCTGGGTCAGACTGTGTTGATTTGAAAGCACTAGTCTTGTATTGCATACAAAAAATTTTGTCAAAGAAAGAAACCAGTTTCGTTATGCTGTCATGAACAAGTTCCACAATCGTCATTGCATATTAAAAAAAGTGCAACAAGGCGAGTGATTATGTGATTTTATCTGTTAATAAGGCATGTTGTTGTGTTTCATTTGACAAAATCTGATGCTAAAAATAACAATGTATTATATGCTATAAACTAGAACTCCGCGAGTCGGATGTGTCGCCTTGTGAACAATGTAGTTAAGGAGAAATGGCCAGGACAAAAATGCAATATGAAAAATAACAAAGGGCAATAACTAAAAAAATAATAAGTGCAGAGCAGCAGTTTCTGTGCACTGCACTTCTTACCAAGAAGATCTGTCATTCTATGATGTTTCAAGTCCATAGCTTTTATACTTTCGGAGAAATGGCCTGGACAAAAATTAAGTATGAAAATTAACAAAGGGCCATAACTCAAAAATTAAGAAATGCAGAGTATCAGTTCTTATGCACTGAACTTTTTCTTAATGAGATCTATCATCATATGAAGTTTCAAGTCCATAACTTTTATACTTTCGGAAAAATGGCCTGGACAAAAATTAAGTATTAAAATTAACAAAGGGCCATAACCCAAAAATTAAGAAATGCAGAGTACCGATTCTTGTGCACTGCACTTCTTCTTAATGAGATCTATCATCCTATGAAGTTTCAAGTCCATAGCTTTTATACTTAAGGAGAAATGGCCCGGACCAAAAAATAAGAAATGCAGAGTATCAGATCTTATGCACTGCACTTTTTCTTAATGAGATCTATCATCCTATGAAGTTTCAAGTCCATAACTTTTATACTTTCGGAGAAATGGCTTGGACAAAAATTAAGTATGAAAATTAACAAGGGCCATAACTCAAAAATTAAGAAATGCAGAGTACCGATTCTTGTGCACTGCACTTCTTCTTAATGAGATCTATCATCCTATGAAGTTTCAAGTCCATAGCTTTTATACTTAAGGAGAAATGGCCCGGACAAAATTAAAGTATGAAAATAAACAAAGGGCAATAACTCAAAAAATAAGAAATGCAGAGTACCTGTTCTTGTGCACTGCACTTTTTCTTAATGAGACCTATCATCCTATGAAGTTTCAATTCCTTGGCTTTTATACATTAGGAGAAATGTCCCGGAGAAAAATAAAGTATGAAAATTAACAAAGGGCAATAACTCAAAAATTAGGAAGTGCAGAGTACCGGTTCTTGTGCACTGCACTTCTTCTTAATGAGATCTATCATCCTATGAAGTTTCAAGTCCATAGCTTTTTTAGTTGAAGAGAAATGGCCCGGACAAAATTAAAGTATGAAAATTAACAAAGGGCAATAACTCAAAAAATAAGAACTGCAGAGTACCGGTCCTTGTGCACTGCACTTTGGGTTATTGAAAGATGCATGCATACCAAGTTTGAAGTCAATCAGACTTATAGTGACTGAGTTATGCTCCGGACAAGCTTTAGGGGACGCCGACAACGACGCCGACACAGACGACGCCGCCGACGCCGCCGACAAAAGTAACCCCTATATGTCACCTTTTCAAGGCGACACAATAACCATCAAAAATGTATTGAATGTATAAAAATAACCACCAAATATATATTGAATGTATAAAAAACCATCAAATATGTATTGTATGCTAAAAATAACCATCATGATCAAATATGTATTGTATGCTAAAAATAATCATCAAATAATCATTGTTTGCTATGAATAACCATCAAATATGTATTGAATGCTATATATAAACATCAAATATGTATTGTATGTATAAAAATAACCATCAGATATGTATTGAAAGCTATATATAAACATCAAATATGTATTGTATGTATAAAAATAACCATAAAATATGTATTGAAAGCTATATATAAACATCAAATATGTATTGTTTGTATAAAAATTACCATCAAATATGCATTGTATGCTATATATAAACATCAAAAATATGTATTATATGTATAAAAATAACCATCAAATATGCATTGTATACTATATATAAACATCAAATATGTATTGTTTGTATAAAAATAACCATCAAATATGCATTGTATGCTATATATAAACATCAAATATGTATTGTATGTATAAAAATAACCATCAAATATGTATTGTATGCTATATATAAACATCAAATATGTATTGTATGTATAAAAATAACCATCAAATATGCATTGTATGCTATATATAAACATCAAAAATATGTATTATATGTATAAAAATAACCATCAAATATGTATTGTATGCTATATATAAACACCAAATATGTATTGAATGCTAAAAAATAAACACCAAATATGTATTGTATGCAAAACAATAAACACCAAATATGAATTGTATGCTATTAATTTACATCAAATATTATTGTATGTATAAAAAAACCCATCAAATATGTATTTTTTTCGATTCAAAGGTGCACTGTTTTTTTTATTCTGTAATAATTTTACTCACAATATAAACAATAATTTTACAATCTACAGACAGCAAGTATATAGCTTTTTACGTTCCCAAATTCTTTATCAACGTTTAGCTTCTTAAACAAAAATGTCGGCCATTTCTGGAGTATTAAATAAGTATAATTGACAAAACATGAAAACAAGTAAAGAACATATTTCTTTATGAAAACTTTATTCATCTTGTACAGGGTATGTAGGGTGCAAAAAATGGAATCACTTACTTGCAAGCGCAAGATCCGCCGTAAGTGTTTCCTTGGCAATCACATTTACAACCGGAAGATGCCAATGGTTGGCCATTCTTACATATCTTATTGCACGATACGTCACATGTTGCACCTGAAATGAGAAAAAATATATGTATAAATCACATATATTTGCCTATAGTGTTTTTTCTTCGTATGTATGTTTGTTTATTTTAAATTTATCTTTTATCAAAAAAAAAAAAAAATATTGTAAGCGTTTTGCATCTTACCTTATCAACAGTTTTTGCAATGTTAAAAAATTAATGCTTAATCACTAACATTTTTCATACGAAAAGAAGAAAGAAATCAGAAAATAACTGTTGTTCTCAATGAAAAAACGTTTAGAATATGTTATAAATGATATTTTCCATGTCTTTTTATATTCAATATATTACGTGTACACCAAAACTTTATATTTGGTTAACTTTTTAACATCCATTTCAAAGCAATCATAATATCGCTAAACCAAACAAGATTTACTCTGACACGAAATGTTGGTTACATAAATATTAAAATAGATCTAGTTACCATAGAAACCGTTGGCACAGTCACATGAACACGTTGTCGAATTCCACACTCCACTATTCTCACACGTTCCTGAGCAGGTTGCCACTACGAACAATGTTAGCATTATTTAATATTATCATTTCAAATAAAAATGATAATGATAATGATGATGATGATGATGATGATTATAACGATAATATTAAAATTTGTTAATACTTCTTAAATGACTTAAAGCATCAAAAAGTATTCTTACTAACTTACCAAGATAACAAATTTATTGTAATTGCAAATAAAATCAGAAAATAGTTACATAATAATTGTATACAATGTATTATATATTATAATTGTCATCGTTATTATCATTATTATATGTATATTATTTCTCACAGTTCAAATAGACCTTTCTAGCAGCATGGTTTCAAACCCGTTCAGCAGAAAGCCGAAGCTTCCTTGAGAAAGAAGCTTAATTACACTTATCGCTTGCTTTACTGATGTATCTACCGGTATATATAACGTGTTGTTCTTACGGTACCTAAGGGTGAAGGTCATGTTCGTTTGCAATCAAAGTCCAAGACAATCATTATTCATCCGCCGTGACAATACTAAAGGGTTTAACTACCCGTATACAATACTCACTTTGGTCTGCTGTCGGTAGGGAATATTCGTACGTTACCCCAGTATTGTTTTTACTGCCGAAGTTGAATAGCTACAAATAAAATGTAAAAAATCCTTAAACAAACTTATAAATCCTGGAATAAGATATTTATATTTGTACATGTATAATAATTGATGAACTATTTCATCACAAAATCAGAAATTATCATACTTATCTTTTTCGTGGTTATATTTGAAAAGGGGTTTTAAACAAGGTGTCTGAGACAACAACATCCCACAAATCAGAATGTGTCTCAAAAAAAATATGCATTTGCTATTTCTTTTCATAGTTTCTTTTTTCTTGTATTGTATACATTTTTATATTGTCTTGGCTAGCCATCATATTATTTGATCTCACATGTAAAACAAACAAATTTTCTGTTTATTTCATGATTTTTTAACGATTTTTACACCATTTTACTGATTTTTGCCGCGTAACGTCATGCTCTTATCTTCATGACGTCATCAAATAATGACTTCACAATGTTGAAGCAAAATATAATTCCATGATTATTTTTAGATTTTAGATGTTTTTCAGCACAACGTTCGTAAATATTAACGAACTACAGTTATCACGTACATTTTTTATTATGATTGACTACATTTCCGCTGAAAAAACATTCATTAATGATAAATATTTTATTTTTACGCCAAATATAGTTCGGCTACTGTGAAATTATATTTGGTAATCATTACTGTGAAATTATCAGAATATAATTAACCGTTATAATTCAGTAATCTACTGCAAAACATGTAATAAATGCTGATATTATTATAACAAACATGCCCGTACTTGTTGGTTTGAAAATTAATATTTGCAATCTTTACTCAGTGTAAGAATGATACGATTTAACGGAAAAGCATTTACTAACAAGTTGGCGCAGATTTTCTAAATCAAATGCAACAATAGATTTGCAACCAGAAGTATCTTTAAAAATATATTCAGCCGAAGTAAACCTGGTTAACTTGTACATGTTATTTCTCAAGTTTTCGATACATATTTATTTATTTGACAGAAAAAACAATGGCATTGTTTATCTTGGAAAATAGAGAATTTTAAAATGACCAATGAAAGGTGTTCTTTTATTCAATGTTTCTCTGTAAATTTTCCAGGAAGTCAAACTGATTTTAGATTCATCGGCAAAAAAAAGAAAGAAAATAGAATGAAACTAATGGACAAAAAAAACACACACACAAAACAACAACAACAACTAAACACATTTTAACTGCAGCAACTGGTAAACACGAGATAAAGGTAAATGTGTTAAGCCCTTTACCACGTCTAATATATTAAAAGATTTTTCCAGCTTTCTAACTGGATACAATTAATAATCATTTATTTGTGGCTCGACTGAAAAGCGAAAAGTTTGGGGCATAATTTGATGGCATCGATGTGCCGATTGATATTGGATTGCAGTGGTCATATGGGTAGAATTTTGCCGCAAGCGGGCTAACAGTTAAATATAGTACTGCATTTATTAATCTTTTCCAAAGATTCTTAAACGATAACTGATATCATTGCACCGGACATAATTGACATGAATAATACATTTATTGATTCCAGCTACATAAATTATATATATGCGCACGCACACGCACACACAACAACAACAACAACTTGTGACCAGCAATAAATTTTAGACATGCTCATCTCTCGAACGGGTAAAAATAATTATCCAGGAGTTTCAAATGAAAATCGTTGCCTACAGAATGGTTTTTTTTATTTTGATTATCTTTTTAACACTAAAGCCTCGGTCTCACTTACTCCCGGCAGAGCCCAGGACCATCCCAGTAAGTTACCGGGATGATCCGGGACGATCCGGGATGAAATTATTGTTGCGGTCACACTTACCCCGGCAGCACTACGGTAGTTCCCTACTAACCACCCAGGATGCGCTCCGGATCATCCAGGTGAAGCTACGGTTCATGCCGGTGCTTCCCCGGTCGTTCCCGGATGACGCCGGAAGAGCCCCGGTTGACCCAGGCAGAGCCCCGGTCGATCCAGGCAGAGCCCCGGCAGAGCCCATGACGATCCAGGCAGAGCCCCGGTAGAACCCCGGTGGATTGAAAAAGCCCGAAAATGATAACATTGATACATAATTTTTATTTAATATGATATCTATTGTTTCAGAATAGTAATTCATGATGATTTTCTGAAAAATCCTTATCCCATACTGGATAGAAGGGAAATGGGAAGGCTTTTAATACAAACAAGTGCAATCATCGCAAATTGTCGTTATTCTTATGAAATGATCCGGGCTTTGCCGGGGCTCTACCGGGATCAACCGTAGCTCTACCTTTATCCTCCGGGGCTCTGCCTGTAGTTACCGGGGCTCTGCCGGCATATACCGGGGCTCTACCGTAGCTCTACCGTAGCTCTACCGGCTATATCATACCCCGGATCATCCCCGGTTTGTGCCGGCAGAGCTACGGTGCTTTCCCGGTATAACCCCGGTCGTTCCCGGCAGAGCTAAGGATGAAGCCGGCAAAGCTATACCTTCCCGGATCATCCCGGACCACCCCGGTGATATTAAATATTTTATTCCATCCGGGGTCGAATGCCGGATGTTCCCGGATCATCCCGGATCATCCAGGACGTTGCCGGCAGAGTTACGGATGTACCCCGGTTGTTCCCGGTCGTTCCCGGATCACCCCGGACGTCTACCGGGGCTCTGCCGGGGCTCTGCCGGGATGTAAGTGAGACTGTAGCTTTAGATATATATGTACAATAACTGACGAACTATTTTATCAAAATTTCAGAAATTATCTTTAGAATAACGTTGTTATGTTCTTCTTACGGTTATATTTGAAGACACTAACCGAAATATCAACCGCTTGGTTGGTCGGCCCCTCCGCATACATGTATTGTTTCTGCCAAAAATAATACCAGTATGTCCCGGCAAAATTTATTGGGTTATCTCGTGTGTCTTGTTGGGTAAGTCCATTTATCACAGATGCCCCTAATTCCTGACCGTCCTGTACATCCTTTGATCTCAACTCTGTATTTTATAATAAAAAATGTCGTAAAAAACAGAAATTAAGAGAGAAGACAAAACAACGAAAAGGTATAGCTATGGGAGTGAATAATAATGCCAAAGGTTGAATTTATAAGCTTTGCAAAATTTACTTCGAAAATGTTACACGAGGAAACCAGGAAAGTGAAACGTAAACAGCATGAGATGGGTTTTCCATATTGCTATAATATGTTGTTTTTCATTACAAGTTACTTTGCATCACTCCGTTTAAATTTACTATGTGACCGTCTAATAATTATATTCTTGTATTGGACACTAGTATCAAATATATACCCGATATTTGGACAATTGACTCTGTATGACCTATCCATATACCATCAAAGCCGTAAACGACAAGGGCATTTGCTTATATATTCGTGAAGAGCATTGAAATGAGTCTTAGCTCACAATTACAAATTGTCGTTTCTTAACTTTCCTGAATTAAAGTTGGATATAAAATAAATGCACACATCATGATATAGTTTGAATAGCACACAGTTCGAAAAAATAAAAATAAAAAACATATTGGACTCCTCTAAGCTGTGTACTCCTAAAAGGTGTTCAAAAAGGTGTACAATCTATAGTTTTTAGTGTTTGTATTGTAAATCATCAAAAGGACTTCACTGAGGTTTTTGGACATGAATGGATAATTTCGAGATTAATAATCCATTTGATGTAGGTGTAGACCTGTAACTTGTGAGCAACATTTCAGGTCATTCGCTCACTCCGTTTTTCTGAAGGTGGAAGAAAAACTTTACAACCCTTTCACTCAAATCGGAATAAGAATAGCCAAAACATACGATTTTCAATTCATTTCTGAGTATATTTATAAATTATCTTTTGCATATCTTTCTCTGTCCAAGCTGATCGATGTAAGAAATTCAAATGCAATGTTTTGAAGTTTTGTAGACCTCAATGCAGTTACTTTATCTGAGCCAATAAAGCGTTTCAGCTATTATCCAATATTTACCAAGAAAATGAAGAGACATCGCGCTGTAGGTAAAATAAATCTGTATAAGCGTTGCGTTTGCTTCAATTCTAACGGCTCTTTTTCTCTCAGCTAAAATAAGATACAAAAAAAAAACAGTCATGCACAGAATGAAACCTGAATTAAGATATTTAATTTTGTACAGTTATTTTAAAAACCATAACTGAGTTAGCTGCAGCAACCTCTTTCTTTTTATTAAAATGTGCATGGGCATTAAATTCGATTTATATAAATACATTAATATTTTTAACTACATCTTAGAAGCATAATTACGTACAAGCACCAAATAAATAACTTTATATTGCATTTCATTCAAAGCATGCACGTGATATATAAAATATTCTACTAGGAAAAATCAAAGAAAGTGTCTCCTTTAAGCTTAGTCATATGGTGACATAGTATTTTATACTTTCAGATTAATCTGAAATCATTCACTATTCATTATCTTTGGATGTTAATAGAAAAAGAAGTATTTACATTTCGCTAACACCTCATCATAAACTCCAGAAACTACCTGGCATGTCGAGTTATTACCCCCGCATACCCCACAACCATCCCTCTGTGTGGAGCCACTCACGTGATCACAACCAGTTAACTAAAATATAACGACGCATGCAAAATAAAGCGTGGGTCATGTTATCATTTATAATGAAATACATATTCAACATTGTTAGTATTAAACATGTATTACATAGAGGAAAATATCCAAAATGACCATCTAATAATGATTAAGGTTGTTTGCTTCTTATCCAAGTGATAGTAGGGTGTCCTACTGCGGTAACATCCGTGTTGCAACAAAAGTAATTAAACCTTACCCCACTAAATATTTTTAATGGACTTGTTAATCTTTCAATCTGGATAAGGCCATTCATCAGACATGTTTTGACTAATAGAATCATATTTGTGAAATAGTGCATAGGGATGTAAAGAGGAACATTTCTATGTGTCTAACAAAACTTGCAAAAGCCATATCTCTTCAAGAGAACATTCAACCCATCAATGATATGTCATAATGCCAAATTAACTATAGATCTTGTGTCAGTGCAATATGTGTTTTCCTTGATCTTTAAAAATGTTCTTTATATGATAAGTATAAGATATTCTTGTAAATTTTAAAATGTTAATTTTAACAATGAGCTGTTAAATTTTGCCGGATACTTTTCGAACTACAAACGTATAATATAAAATATATGTTTTTTATCGACTAGTGCTGGTACTAATAATTTTACTTACATAACAATGACCTTGAACGCACGAGCCATACATTCCTGATATCCTCGGTAGATTGTTGTTTTCAACAAATGAAGATGTCAACGAACTATGAGAACACGGTGTTCCATGAGGCATTATACTATGCCGTTCAGATCCGGGTATAGTGTAACCGCTTATTGTGTCACAAACGACTTCACACTGATCGTCACCTAAAATATATATGATGTATATATAAATCTTTTAACTGCAATAACTCTTCTAAATTGTCTGTGTGTGCAAATAATAGATTTAAAAAAAAGAAACATGTTTTTTTCCATTATTTTAATGAACTATGGATAATATGCCTTCCATTAATCTCTGGTGTTTAAATTCTTGCCTTGATCAGAAAATGACCTCTCACAGATCGATTCTTTTTTATCCAATAATTGAACATAAATGATTACGTGTTTATAGTTTTTAATAAATCGAGCCAAACAGTCCGACAATGGCTTAAACATTGATGAAGGCCTACAATAAATAGCCTAGCCTTTCTTTAATAGCCATTTTTTCCAGTTTTTGCTCAATTTTATGTGTCCAGTCTTTACCTACCTACCACTGTTTCGAGTAGTTGTCAAAATAGTTGCCAACCTTTTACCAATAAGATCTAACATTGTAGGACCCGAATTACCTTACAGGCTGAGACAGGGCCCTCACTAAGGGAAATTTGCGTGCGTTTGAAGAAAAAAGGGCAATTTTGTCAATCAACAATCGACAAAACAAATGTTTAATGTTAATGATCAGTGGCCTTCATATTCATGTGACAAAATTTAATTTCTGATCATGTTGAACAAACTTGATAAAATTTATTTTCAATGATTCAAGCATAAAATTTTCGGTAATTGCTTAAGTAAAACCCAAAATGCAAATTTCAATATATTGTTAAGGGGGGTTGTGCCTTAGGTGGGTTAAATTAAAAAAAAAACAACAGTGTAATTTCTTTCAAGAATAGGAGAAAATATATGTTTATTTGGGAGAGGAATGGGACCGAATTTCGGTCCCAAAATCGTAAAATGGTGAGATGAGTACCCTACATTGTTTTATTTATTATTGTTACCAGCCTCTATAATGGCACCTTTTGGTCCGGCATTCTCAGACTAAAACAATTTACCTTTACCATTGTTTCTAGCTTTTTCTCCGCTAAACGTTGTTTCCAACATTTTCCCCGCTAATCATTGTTTCTAGCCTATGTTCGCACAACATTGTTTCCAGCCTTTGCTTCCTTAGTATTGTTTCTAGCCTTTGTTCGTTTAGCATTGTTTCTAGCCTTTGCTCGTTAGCATTATTTCCAGCCTTTGCTCGCTTAGCATTTTGTTCCAGCCTTGACTGGTTTAGCATTGTTTCCAGCCTTTGCTCGCTTAGCATTTTTTCTAGCCTTTGGTCGTTTAGCACTGTTTCCAGCCTTTGCTCGCACAACAATTTCTAGCCCTTGCTCGCACAACATTGTTTCCATCCTTTGCTAGCTTAGCATTGTTTCTAGCCTTTGGTCGTTAAGCATTGTTTCCAGCCTTTACTTGCTTAGCATTGTTCCTAACCTTTGGTCTTTTAGCATTGGTCCAAGCCTTTGGTCGTTTAGCATTGGTCCGAGCCTTTGCTCGCATAGCATTGTTCCTTACCTTTGGTCGTTTAGCATTGGTCCAAGCCTTTGGTCGTTTATCATTGGTCTGAGCCTTTATCCACTCACCATTGATACAAACCTTTGTTTAGAGATGTAAAAATGTACCTTTATTTTGTTTACTTACCATTATTACCCGCCTTTGATCCCGTATTAAGATAATTCGCTGAATCTTTATCAATCATTGTATATTTATTGTTATCCTTCCAATCAGTACATGTCTCTCCTGCCCTTTGTGTAATTAATGCCTCATCTTCTGTGACCCCGTCACAAGCCTATAAGTTATTAATACAACGCAAAGATAATTAGTTAAAATTGTATTAATTTACGTTTGAAAATGATTTTTTTGCCACTTATCATTATACGAGAGCATCGGAGTTGATGATTCTCGGGCAAGAAAAATTTCTCCGTGATACTTGATCTCGATTATTGAGTCTTTCTATGGAAAAAAAATCAACAACAAAGAAATCCCAATCAAAACACAATGCAATCAAAACAACAAAAGACAAAGACACATGACCTAAATAAACAATATCAACGAAAAGAAGAAACATTAAAATGATTATATGATAAAAAACAAAGAACAACAACTGACAGTTACAAATAATGCATTTTAAATTTCAACTTGTAACTTGGTTGAAGTTATAGGTCTGGAATAACCAAGCAAAGGGTTCTATACTTGTATTTCGGCGGCGTCTATATATTGATCATAGATGTATTTTATTTCTTTTCTTTATAAACAACTATGTGCACAGTTGAACTCTATTTATTTATAATGATAAAATCGTATGTAGTTCACATTTATTCGTCTTACATATCACTTTAACTCATCTACATGTGAATAAGTCCAATCTATCAGTAAATTAATCAGTCGCTTGATCTATAGGCAGAAAACATAGTTTTTTCAAGAAGCACAAAAAGTACAATGTTGAACATATTAAGTTCGAAAAATAACAATAGCTGAAAATCCATGCCTCTACCCGGTAAGGACAGTTAACAATTTCAAATTTATTATTTTAATATCTTCAATATCACGAAACAAAAGTGAGGACAATGCAAAACGTTAACAACAGCATAACCTTTTTTGACAAGTTGTTATAGCATATTGAAGACATTAAATTGAACATACCTGCGTGTTGCATAACTCCGCTTTAAACGTATCTCCTTCGCACCAGGCACTGTTTTGTGGTCTTTGAAATATAAAGACGTCCAAAGACGTTAAAGGCATCATAAAAGTTTTCATACAAGTATAAATGTTGAATAATACGTCAGCCGGTGCTAGGGAGTGTGGACGGCTGCTACGTTTCCGGCAAACTTTAGGCATTCAAGTATTTCCTATTTTATATATATTTGACATTATCACATTGAGCTATTCTTGTGAAAATGACACTAGAATTACAGCCAGCGACTGCAAATACACGTTGTCTGACACCGTTTAGTTTTTTAGAAATAAATGAACTGTAACTGATCAATAATACCGAAGATAAAAAACTTATAGATATTTATTACATTCAGAACAGAATGAAGATTTATAAAAAAAATCAAGTATGATTAGATCTAGTAAAGACACGAACTTTAACAAGTTCACTTCGATATTATATTTGATAACCACTCACTTTGGATTGTTACAAGTTCGTGTGCGCAATTTAACGCCTGTCCCGCACGTGCGACTACATGACGTCTCTGTTCCCCAAGCTGACCAGCCACCTGTGACTTTAGTAATAGAGGATTGTGGAAGACCGGTATCCGTTATATTTATGCATCGGTAATTAGCCTGGCTTGTTGTACATACCTGAAATAATCAGACAGAATTTTAGTGTGGGCAGTCCCATCTGATTTCGTCATTCTCTTCGGGTTAAATATTGTAATATTTACTCGGAAAGTGATTTGAAATCAGTTTTTACGTTCAAGGTCATTCAAACGCTAGTTCGATCCAATGAAACGTATTTTCCGTATTTTCACTGGTGTCTTGCGGACTACTTTCTTGTTAAATCAGCCAATATACAAAATTAAAACGGAGTTCTTCCTATTCATAAGGTAAAAAAGCTAATATAAGAGTATATAATAAGCAGAAAATTCAAGTTTTTTTTCTATTATACAGGATTTGTTTTCATATTGTGGTATGACAATTATCATATTTCACCCGTGGCTATTGCAACACGCGAAATATTTATTTTCATACTAGATCTACACGATGAAAATAAATTCTGCATTTATAGAAGAAACTTGAATAACCTCTATGTACCATTCTTCTCACATCCTCATACTACGGAACCGTCCTGGTGCCAATTCATAATGTGCTATAAATTCCAAATTAGGCTTTTTTATCTCCTACATAGGATTTATCATTTTTATAGAGCACTATAAGTCGGCATCAGAGCGTTTCCATATCATATCCTCGACCCTCAAGGTACTGTATACCGGGAGGTACTTTGTACCAGGAATGTCCAGATATTACAAATAATATTTACATAAAAAATCTGTTGTATTTTAGAGTTTTTCACATCAATTTCATACAAAATATGGCAGTTTATGAAGACAGTTCAAAGTTTAATAACACTATTCACATCAATGTTTTACGCATAAAAGCCAGTAGTATTGCTATTGATTTGAACCCAATAAAACTCATAAGAGGTTATTTGTAGAACTATCGTTTTGATGTATATTCAAAATTTCCTTTGGATAGTTTTTTTTTTTTTATCAAAATGGTACTTCTACAGTAAATAACTATTTTATTCTAAATCTATTCTATATTATATGATGGTATCTTAATAAGTTTTGAAGAGGTCACGTGACTCATGAAGCCGCATTCAGGGAAACAAATTGGGCAAAGTTTGTATTAACATCGCCTTTGAGAATGTGCAGCAAATCATATATGTATATAGATGGCCATAATTAATTAAGAGATAAATCAACACTATTTATTAATTTACCATGTCTTCGCCGCAGTACTTTCCGTCCGTTGGTGCAGTATATTTGTAACTAACACCGAACTTGTCAGAGGAAGCATCAAGATTCATACATCTATAACCCGAACAGGAGTTCTGTGATAAAATATAAACAAATAAAATCATTACTATTGTGAAGAAATATTGAAAATGAACATGTGCTATTTTCTTTTATTTAAATGAGACACAAAACTTGCAGTTAATATGATTCACGACGAAAGTACTGACTTTTACATAATATTTTGGCCTTAGAATATGGTATTAATTTGCTGATATCCAAAATAGATCAATCTATTCCAGCAACACTGAAGGACGAAGACTTAAGGTGCCCCTCCGTACGGGTCCACGATTAGAACCAACGACGTTTTGTAAATTACATAAATAGCTTTCGTCCGTAATGGAATTTGAACCCGCAGAAGTAAGAGACAAGTGGTTTGAAGTCAACGACCGTTACAGCTCGGCCACAGACGCCACGGACGCCACCTACTTTTGGCTCAAACATTCTATATATGATTACATAATAAATCATAAACATGCATCTGATTCCCTTCAGACCTGAAAGTATTTAGATAACTGATAAAAATAAGAATATAATTAGTATAGTTGGTGCACATAAAGTTTAGTAAGTATGAAAAGTATGAAGATAAATATTACAATACCCGGTTGCCCTTGAAGACGAAACCTGGACCGTGTTGCATTTCACATATATCGTCGTCGGAATATTTCATACCTAAAAAATGCATTTTTAAAAACATTTTCCCTGTTTATAGGCACATTATGTCTCAGAAATCCATATTTTCATAATTCTTTAGAAATCTCGAACGTGTCTTCTATAGATAACTGAACATGCAGTAACGTGTCGTTAATGTAGGAAGAGTAAACAAAGAACATGTAGTATTTTGACTTCCATACAAAATACTAATTCATAATAGTTTTACCGATTGCAAACAGAGTAAAAGAAGCCGATGTGGTAATTGAGTATTTTTTTAAAATCTAACAAATTACCTTAAATATAAAGTTTTAGGGAAATAAAAATGAAAGCTTTTCTGAGGCATAATGTACCTCAATATCTAAGATGGACATGTATCGCCTTGCGTTTTGAACTCTCCATTTCAATTTTGAAAGCTTCTATGTCAATATAATCATTTAGGGCCAAGAAAATTTTAGTTTGACTTACTTGTCCGTATTTATCTGAAGCATTTCTTAACTATGATACTATTTTTTTCGTAGGAAAAAAAAAACACAAACAAACTTGATTAAAGAGCACCTATACCCCTGTCTAAAATTACCAAGATGCTAGTAAGATGACGTAACATGTCACACGACTTGCCAAGTAATACAAATATCCGAAAAGGGATATGTTTATTTTGTTAAGCACGATCAAAATATTATATTCAATAAGCTCTTTAAAGGCACACATTGCTCAGAAATGACTACACTTTTTCCTCTCTGATATCTTATAAATTTACACGTTAAATGCTTATCGCGTGCAAAGAAGTAAGCTTGAATGAAATATAATTTGTCTCAAAAGTAACAAAATGTACACCAAGTAGTTTGTCAACTTCTATGCAAATAACTCATAGTCACGTTTATTGACCAATGGTCAAAATTCGATAGAAAAAAAAACACAACAAAGCATGGCTATGATATGTATGGCCAGTATCAGTTTGTTATCTGTAACAGTACATTTAATAGGCTTAATGGGTCTTTAATGAAGGCTATTGAAACTGAAATAAACAATTTCCAAGTAATATTTTAAGATACTGAAGAAAAAGGCATTTACCAGGCCAAAGGGCGTCCAATGTGAACAGAGCTGCACCAGCAACATCCTGTGTCCTTGTACAGTCAGCAGTTCCCTTACTTCAAAATTAAAAATAAATAAATAAATAGATAAATAAGATAAATAAAAAAATAGGATAATAAAAATATATATATATATATATATATATCTGGATAAAAAAATGAAAATAAAATAAAAAATGAAATAAGTATTTTATAAATAATTAATAAAAAAATAGATAAATAAAACAGATGAGTAGCAGATATATAAAATAACAAGTCAAACATAAATGTACATGTTCACTATCCTATCCACTAACTGATTTTGAACATATGGTTATATCCCGGTTTCACAAAAATGTTTTTTTTTTCATTTATTTTTAACATACGTCATAAGTATAAATTGTATTAAGTTAATTCAACAATGCTTCCAATATATCTCGTGATTTGATTTGTACACTTAACATTCATAATAATCGAATGTTCAGACTTAAATTCCGTTTCTTGTAACGAATAATAAGTTAAACGAGATGACCTGCTTTCTACTAATATGAATTTTACAAGAGCCCTTGAACATCCCTACTAAACAGTGGCTCTTTCACACTTTGGTAATCTGCATAAATGTAGAACCCTTGACCAAAGCAATCCTGAACAAGAGCTGTCGGAGGACAGCAATGCTCGACTATTCGATAGAGTTGTCACAAGGCTGTTTCATTGAGTATAAAAAGGAGCATAAATATGTAAATAAGTTAATCAGAGTTATTCCATTCCCTTCTGTTAGGGAGATACCAGCTTACAAGCAAAAAGTTAATCATGAGTTTCATTGAGAATAAAAAGGGGCATACATTTGGAAATAAGCAAATCGGAAATATCCTATGACAGCATGCTCGACAATTAGAACAGTTATCAAAATAATGGCATTGAAAGGTCAGGGATTGAATATAAGTCTACCTTTTGACAGACCAGCACTCTACCTGTGCGCTAGCCCGGCTGGTTTAGTGGAAATGAATTTAATATTTATCAGAATATTATTATGAACATGACTTTTGAAAAGAAGTTTGAAGTAACGCAAGTGAAAAATTGAAATATTTATTCAAAAAGATGCAGTTATATATGAAACAACTGGTACTGTTTATAAGTTATGAATATACAAAATGGAAGATGCCGTCATAAGCTTAAGTTGCCAATGAGACTCTTAATATCATAAAAGCAAATAAACATTTGAACAAAGCAAAAACACTTTTGAACAAAGTGTACTTTCGGTCAAATTGCAATGTGTAAAGGTGTCTTAATAAAGATGTGAATAATTATGATAGCCAGAGTACTTCTGTAAACAAGAGTACACAATAATTATAAAAAGGCCTCTACCTGTGAACAAAAATGTGTAAAAAGATTATCAGGAACCCTTATTTTTGTTTATAAAAATATATGCAACAAATTCCTTTTAAAATCAAGGAACAAGTCAGCAGTTTTGTAATGAACGTGTTGGAGTTTGGATGGACAGTCATGTTAGAAAAAGAAATGTATTGAGAGGAAAATACCTTTGCAAATGATAATGATTGTTCTGTAATAATAATTGCACCTTTATGTTGATCTTAATATAAAGTTCAAAAGGGGAGAAAAATCAGCCTAAATGCAAGACAGAATAATGGTTCTTGGTCAGTGACATACAATTATGACCCTTCATGCTTATGTGAAGTTTCAAATCAAAATCTCTGATAGTTATTGAGATATGTAAAACTTACATGTAAACATTAACCACCAAGGGACTAAGTAAAAAAGGGGAGATAAATCAGTCTAAATACATGACACAGATATGAATGTCGTTCAGTGATCATTATTTATGACCCCACATATACATATGAAGTTTCAAGTTTGTATCTTTAATAGTTTCAGAGATATGCAAAACTTGCATGTAAAACTTAACCAAGAAAAGGAGATTTTTAAGTACAAAAGGGACCATAATTCAGTCAAAATACATGGCAGAGTAATGGATCTTGAGATGTGACTTTCAATTATTACCCTAAGTACATGTGTAAAGTTTCTAGTAAATTTCTTTGATAGTTCTTAAGACCTTATTCCTTAACCACATTTCTCAAAGTTTCAAAAGGGCATAATTCTGCAAATATTGCAGGCATACTAATGCAACTTTGCAAATTGATGAACATTGTTACTATAAATAAGTATTGTAAGTTTCAATTGAATATCTCAAGCAATAATTGAGATATTTGACTTTACCATCCGCGCAGTCCGATCAGGATCCATGCTGTTCGCTTAAAAACCCTATTACAAGTAAAGAAACTGATAGCGAACAGCATGGATCCTGATCAGACTGTCCGGATGCGCAGGCTGGTCTGGATCCATGCTGGTCGCAAACGCATAACGTTGGCTCAAATATAAACTTGTTTGTTTTCTATTACATGGAGACATATCTTAAGTGATATCTTTATCGTGAAGTAAATTTCTGTCCATTTAATCGTGTCTGGAACACAATCCTAATTTCCCCTTTTGCTCAACACAAAAATAGTTCAAAAGGCTTGGTTAAAAAATCAAACACTAACATTTATTCAAATGTGATCCAGCCATTGACAATGTTCCGGCGCCATCGGAAATGTGAAACAGCCCTCGCAAATGTGATGGAGCCAACTTTGCCATTTAATAAATGATAGCTTGTAATTCTGGCGATTAATAAGTATGGATAGACTAAAGGATAAACCTCAAAATTGATTGTGAGAGAATTGACGTGGTTCCAAAATATCGGCCCATATTGAATGGTCGTGTTGGCTCCGGGCTCCAGCACCTCGATGGCTCGGTCACATTTACAAAGCTCTTTGAACTATCTTATTGTGTTTAGCCAAAGGGAAGGTTGGAACAATTTTACATGCAAGATTAAGTAAATAAACATTAAATTTATGGTGGAAAAATCACTCAAGATATGTCTTCTCGTGATCGAAAACGCACAATTTAATATTTATTAAAGGTTCTGGCAACGACATTTTGGGATATTTTGGGATATTTCGTATCAAAACTAAATACTAAACGATGAGAAAATTGTTCTACGTGGCATAGCTTGCTTTATTGTTTTTTTTAAACAAGCAAGTTCTCAAAAAACGAATATTTTTAGAAACTGTGTTTACTTTTTACAGCTTTGTTTTGGCTAAGAACACTAAAACGGAAGTGTCGAGGGTACTCATTTATCAAAATGTAAAAGTGCAAATAACGCAAAAAGAAATAAATAATACATTCGAAAAACTTGCCATGCCATGTGTGGTTACTTTTCCGAAATGTGTTAAACATAAGAAGTTACCATCTAAGTATTCCTGTATACATGTCAATAAGATCTATAGAAAATTATTAAAGTAATACCTCATTAAGCCCCCGAGAGCAGCCACGCTGCAGGCGCTCCAACCGGATGTCAAGCCTCCCATTATACCTGTGGTTGAACAACCTACCTCGCCATCATGCACCATTCCCATACTGGCAAAAATAATATTCATTTCAGCACATTTTATAATTCATAAAACTTTCGACACAATTCAAATCAGTCGATTGATCAGAGAGAGTTTGTCCATTTATAAATGTCACACGTGTAAAATAATATTATTAGCACTTAAATACTATACATCTTTTCCATTTCATTCTAATATTTTATATGAAGAAATAATTAAGTATTAAATAAAAGTGGCGGTATGGCCAAGTAGTTAACGCGTTAGACAAAAAATCGAACGGTTGCTAGCCCAGTGGGTTCCAATCCCGTTAGGGACCAAGCTGTTGTTTCCTGGAGCAAAAGACTTTAAACTCATTACTTACAATGGTAGGATACTACGTCATCGCATACCTGCAAAATGCTCCCAATCGGACGGTAAAATATTGCTGTCCTGAAAACGGGATTAAGTTGTTTTCCTTATTGATCCCACTCAGACTCCAAAACAAAGATTATCCCGTTTTCAGATTTTAAAACTTTAAACACTTTTTAAAATTATAACAAGTACTAAATCCAATCTTTAGTTCGCTTCATTGTTTTATATTCTAAAGATTTCTTAGAATAATAACAAAAATTTATCTTCGATTCGACAATCAACAACAAGAACAAAAAGAAAAAAGTCCAGGACCGGCTTATAGAGTGTTTCACTAAGCGTATAGCTTCAAACACAATCGGACTAAAATACTAGTCTTTGACCTGTTTCACATAAGCACGTGCGGGTTAATCAAATAGTTGCGACGTTTAAACCCTTAAGTAGTGTCTGCAATGTTGTTAATATAAACTCGGTTGAAGTTTATTGTAAATAGTCAGAAACTTCAAATTTAGACCTAAGTGGTGTATTATTCATTGCATATAATTATGTCTATTCTATTCCTACTATATTTTAATTCTGTTCTATTATGTTTTGTTCTATGTCATTCTATTCCGTTCCGTTCCGTACAGGTTCGTCATTCTATTCTATTCTACTATTCCATTCCGTTCCGTTCATTTCACTGCACCTTTTTCTATTCCATTATTCTATTCTATTCAGTTATGTTCTGTTCTGTTCTGTTCTATTCTATTCTCTCAAATCCTCTTACCTATGACCGAGTTCGTGTGTGGGAATATAATAGGCAGCTGATGACGTGAACGTTGAAACTGCGCATTTTTCTTGTCCTTTGCAAATTCCGCCGACATACGCCTTCCCTGATACATCGGTGCCAGTTTGTCTATAATTGATATTACAAGGGGAGTAAATCTTGATGGTATAAACTTACGACCGATGACGGAATCATACCCAGTGATAATTATACACAGTATTTAACCCAGTAAAGAATTATACACAGTGTATTAACCAGTTAAGAATTATTTTACCCAGTAAAAATAAAACACAGTGTTTTACTGAAGAATCTTACACTGGCTGCCGGTACAGACCGGGATATCTAGCTCGAGGGTAACTGTTTACGGCGGTAACGAGGCTCTGCCGAGTTTCCGCTATACAGTTACCCGAGAGCTAGATATTCCCGTCTGAACCGACAGCCAGTGTTTTATTCTTTTTCTTGCATATTAAATGTCATTTATCTTAGGAACAGTAATTACGGAAACTGATATTTTCATTACGCACTTTTTTTCTAAAAGTAGCGTATGAACTTTATTCATAACGGTGAAATGACGTCATCCTTAGAACGCAATTCATTCATAAAAGGCGCGCGGCAATGACGTCATTTTAAGCACGCGATCTGTCTAACAGACGGATGTAAGACTATAAGAATCTTACACCGGCTAGCTCGAGGGTAACTGTTTACAGCGGTAACGAGGCTCTGCCGAGTTTCCGCTGAGCTAGATATTCCCGTCTGTACTAACAGCCGGTGTTTGATTCTTTTTCTTGCATATTAGCAACATGTCAATTATTTTCGGAACAGAAATTATGAAAACTGATATTCTCATTACGCACTTTTTTCTTAAAGTAGCGAATGAAAATAATACTTCATTCATAACGGAAAACTGACATCATCCTAAGAACGCGATTCGTTCATAAAAGGCGCACGTCAATGAAGTCATTTAAACCACGCGACTTGTCTTACATGGGGGTGTAAGACAGTGTTTTCTAGCACCGGTGTAAACGGTAGATAATCTTGTCTGATATGCAAGAAAAGGTTTTCTAGCACCGGTGGTAACGGTAGATATTCCTGTCTGATATGCAAGAATTAGTAAATAATTATACCCAGTGTTTTTACCCGGTAAAGAATTATGCCCAGTGTTTTACCCGGTAAAGAAAAATGCACAGTGTTTTACCCAGAAAAGAATTATAAACAGGGATTTACCTAGTAAATAATTATACACAGTATTTTACACAGTAACGAATAATACACAGTGTTTTAATAAGTAACGAATTATACACAGTGTTTTACCTAGTAAAGAATTATACATTGTGTTTTCCCCAGAAAAGAATTATACACAGTGTTTTACCTAGTAAAGTATTATGCACAGTGTTTTACCTAGTAAAGAATTTTATCCAGTGTTTTACCCGGTTAAGAATAATACACAGTGTTTTACCCAGAAAAGAATTATAAACAGTGTTTTTACCAAGTAACGAATTATACACAGTGTTTTACCAGGTAAAGTATTATACACAGTGTTTTTACCAAGTAACGAATTATACACAGTGTTTTACCCAGTAAAGTATTATACACAGTGTTTTACCCAGTAAAGAATTATACATACTGTTTAACGCAGTATAGAATTATACACAGTGATTTTTATACTAAAGAATTATACACAGTGTTTTTCCCAGAAAAGAATAATACACAGTGTTTTACCTTGTAAAGAATTAAACACAGTGTTTTACCTAGTAAAGGTTTATACAGTGTTTTATCCAGTTAATAATTATACACAGTGTTTTACCCAGTAAAGAGATGTATATGGTCATAGTCTGTCCATAGTCCACGTGAATTCGTCTGGAAGCATATGTGATACAACAAATCTCCGAGGTCTGTCTCCGGGCTGTACCAGTCCTGTAATGATTTAACAATAATTTATAATTATATAATTCAAGCAAGAACGCCTGTCTAGAAGATAACTATCTCTAAAATTAGAGGGAATGACTTCTTGCAGCTTATTTTGTCATAATTATACAAAATATGAAAACAAAATATGCTTCTGTTTCTTGCTTAAAAGCCCATAAAGTCCCCAAAATGATTTTATTTTCAGTTCTCAAAAACCTTTTAAATTTTGATGCCATGTTGCAGTTTCCAGACGGCTACTCACTGGCCAAATATATTAACTACTTAAGCTATTTGTTTTGCATTTCGTACAATTACATGTATAACGTATAAGTATTTTTAATGGAATTAAAAAAATCTTGAACAAGGGTCGATCCGTTTGAGGCAGCATTATCTATTACCGACTTAAGCGTTACAACATGTACTAAATTAATAACGCTATTTTTAACTTATTTATCTGTGAGGGGCTTAACCTAATGTTGTAAGAAGTTGTTGCCCAACCCATTTGCATTTTGATATATACTCATTATTTGTATGATATGTTTGTAAACACGTATTTAATGCAATAAAAATATGTTTAAACTAAACAACTTATCTTATATCCAGCGTTACGTCCTACCAGAGGTATGCTTATATCATGCTCTTATTAAACATATGTTTGTCCATACAAATATATATTCATTTTTGGGTCTTAGTGTGCCTTTTAATTATGAAAAAAACACACATATTTGAAACATAAAATATAACAGTCCGCCTTAGTTTGGACACGAAAATGTTAAAACATTATCATAAACTTTTTAATCTTTTAAGGTTCATCCGATCAGAAAGAAAATCATAAGAAATTGGCAAACTTCGTAAACGCTTATTTGTAGGTAAAAAGAAACGGACATTGACGGAATATACCGAAGGTTTACGACAATGTGATTATATCTGTCTTGCTCTAAAGCAGCACGCCCCAACATTATGCTGGAACTAACAAATCTTAAACGAATAATATTGTCATGCGTACAAATAACGTGACAATCTATTCTGGACAGCCAAACAACCTACCCCCCCCCCCCCAATTAAAAATAAATCTACAGAAATTACGTAATTATCATAACAGCTTTCCGTGGCATTTCAAGGAGGTTGGGTTTTTAATGTCTGTTGCATTAATATAAAACTTACCGGATTTGTCTCCCAGATGACAAGCTCTTTGATGTCTATGGTTATTGTGTAATCGAAAACATCTGCTTTGCCCCATTCCGCTTGTGCCTTTAAAATATAGTTACATAAACTCTTTAAAAGCAAGCGACGAAAATTAGGGTGTATTGACTATGCAACCAGTATGAGAAAGACAGGTACGAAAGACAATTCAACTTCATGAATTCCCAATTTAACTTCATAAATTCACGATTTCAACTTCACGAATTCAACATCATGATTCAACTTTGTGAATTCACGATTTTAATTTCGTGATTTTACAATTTCTAGTCTGTGAATTCCTTAAGTTGAAAAATGAACTCACGAAGTTATAAATGTGAATCGAGAATTCATGAAGTTGAAATCGAGAATTCATGAAGTTGATATGTCCACATCGGTCTTTCGCACAGGACGTCACTTTCGTTAACACCAACCGTTTTTACGCTTTGATTTCAAAATATCTCATTTTGTTTGAACATATTTGCTTGTAAAGTAGGTAGGATCAAGTGGGTCATGACATTGGGTGTTTAAAGTATTCAACAAAAATGTCTTTAAAATGTGACATTACAACAGCATTTAAATTCATTTGAACACATATTCCATAAGATTAAATAAAATGTGATATTAAATAACAAAGTACGGTGTAATGAATTCGTATACAAATGTTTGTTTTGACAAGACAATTAATAGTCAATACTTGAACCATCTGAGACTTACAGGCCCTAAAACATACATTCATTGTAGCAATGTTTACACAGCACCGTGATTATCTCACGAAATGGCTTAACATTCAAAAATAAGCTCGACAAATATCCCACTTCAAACAGTCTCGTTTTACAAAACAATTTCATTTTGAAGTGGTTTTTAATTTTTAAACACCTTATTTATACACATGCCTAGTGTACATTTGTTATTGTATTTACAGTGTCCCTAGCACAGTATAACAAATCTTAACAATAAATATTGAAATTCGCCAGTAATTGTCAAACGATATGGATTTAAAAAGTTAAATCTAAAGGAACACATTAAGAAAATATTTGTGATAATGAGTGATAATAAAGTCGGGTTCTTCAAAGTCAATTGAAGGACTTAACCGAAAGTCATAAAAATCTTGGGATTAAAAGATAAGAAAAGACTATAATATTAATATATAGTCCTGTGTTATATGAACTGACCAATTTAGAACATAATTTTTAATATCTTTGAGATAATTAAGAAGTGATCTCTGTTATAGACGGTGTACAGGGGGTGGTGACTTAGAACCAATTTATTCATACAGAGACAACAAAAACTTACATGTTTAAAACTTTAAATGTCCGAAAATCGTCAACTTACCCCTGTCCACTTTAATTCCATCAGATCATGTATCGTCTGATTATCAGTAATTCCAGCCGCTCTTATACGAGCCACATATAATGCATCCAATATCACAACTGTTTCTATATTTAGATTATCACTGACAGCTCGCTTCCGTCTAGGCACGTGCTCAGCTGAAGCAGACGACAAAACATATTTGAGGAAATTAATCGCATCTTTTAATTTATCAAAATATCCCTAAAATTTATCAAAATGAGGGACTGTTTTCAAAGTTTGTCTCAATTTTCTTAAAAATCAGGCTGATCTTATCAAATTTAAAATAATTTTACCGTGTAGTTTTTATTTTATTAGACTTTAAAAATAATTGGTATCATAACTGATATTAAATTTGGCATAATTTTGCCAATAAATACCGATTACAATTATATAATTAAAATGAAACACTTTTTTCTTTCCAAGAGTGATCCGATAGACAGATACATAATGTGCAATGAAAGAAAAAAAGGAAAGATTTGTTTTGTCTACTCTTGGGTTTGTACCCGCGCCCCTTAGTTTCAAATGCATTTGACAGTAGTTCTAGTCTATTTGAATACTCTTCAAAGTGGCGGTAATGCATTAGGCAGGTCAGACCTTAAATAAGTCAAGGTATTTTAACGAGATTATTATGTGAGATATCAAAATATTTTATTTATTTCATTTCCAGTATGCTAATAAGCCCAAGACGACAACATATTTCAGATATATGACATGACAGAGTAATGCATGATATTGATAATGATACATCTCATTTTCAAAGGTTGAAAAACTCATCCTAAAGACTACTCCAGTAGAGAAGAGACATTTGTCCAATACAATATGCTATATGCAATCATGGGAGTAATATACTAGTAATTGATTGATTGATTTTCTTTAGAATGGCCAGTGTATAACACTTATACATGCGAGGATTACTTGGGTTTCTTACCAGTTTACCTCTAGGTTAAAGTGTTTCTGAAATATCCCAAGGGTGTTACCAAGGATCAAACCCGGAACCTCAGGAGTGACAATCAGTGGTCTAACCAACTGAGCTATCGCCCCATCTACGATCAACTTTTATCGAAAACGAAAACAAAAGGGAAAAAGGTTAACTCATTGGCTATTCGTGAAACATCATCATCAAATAACTGTAAATTTATTCAAAAATGATTAATTCATTTTTCTTAGAAACATGAAGTATTATGTTATTTAATGCTTATATGGTTTAACGTTTATACTGTTATGACATTTTAAAATAAATTAAATACAAGTGTTGTTAATTGTTTTATAAATCCCGTTGCCAATTGTGAGTTGAAAAAAAATTGCACATTGAATTATTTATTGCCAATTTTTGTATTTTAACTTATTCACTGCCAATTGTTTGAAAAAAATCTGTTTATTTAATAATTGTATTCAAGTGTAAAGACGGACACTCTTGTAATGAATGATCTATTATAAATTCTAAATACAAAATAATGTATTTTTTGATAATTCACTGGCAAAGTGTGATAGGATATGATTGTATATCGAAAATTTTTCTGCAAGTATAAATAAGCAAATGCTTGTATATTGATTTGAGCCGCGTCATGACAAAACCAACATGGTGCGTTTGCGACCAGCATGGATCCAGACCAGTCTGCGCATCCGCGCAGTCTGATCAGAATCCATGCTGTTCGCTATCAGTTTCTCTACTTGAAAAAGAGTTGGTAAGCGAACAGCATGGATCCTGATCAGACTGCGCGGAAGCGCAGGCTGGTCTTCATCCATACTGGTCGCAAATGCACTATGTTGGTTTTGTCATGACGCGGCTCATTTATCCGTTGTAGAAAAAAAGTGTTTTAAAACTGTCCATGTAAGAACAAAATTGTATTTTTTATTTGAATATATCATTGCAAATGCAATGTAGAAAACTATCACTTTTCAGGCAATGTAACACAATATTATATTAATATTTGCAAATAAAAATACATTAAAACTGTATGATGAAATGATGAATATCAAATAGCCACATTGCCAAGGTTGAAGCCACATGCATGCCTCAATATAAGTCAAGAAATTAACCCTGAGAAAAATGTACTGTGAGTTTAAGAAAAGTAAAAAAAAGACACATTTAAGAAAAAATTTACATATAACTGAGTATGCAGTTTTTATGATCATATTTCTCGTGCTTGACTAACGCAATAAGGGCTATTTTTTGTGCATATTGTGACCTATATTTGGTTTCCATTGTAGATTTTAAATGTTGTTTGCAATGTTTAAATTTCTTTTTTGCTCACTTGACAATACTTTGCTTGTTGATTAATTTTCAAAATGTTCATTAAAATCTTAACCTTGACACTGGAAGCATAATATAGATAAGGGTGAAGTACTTACAAGTGTTTGTAGGTAGTGTAGCAGTATCATATTTATCATCAGAAACTGTCTTTTCTTTTCTAGCAAGAAGAACAACTTCCTTTCCATCTTCTTCTATAGTTTCAATATGATATGTATATGTACCATTTGTAAAATCTCCTTTCTAAAATAAACAGAGAAATTACAAAATAAACACTTTAGTAGTACTGTTACAATTAAATTCAAATGCATATAATTGTATTTCATTGCATGAAAATTTGTTTGATGATATTGAATACCATTTTCGCTTGTATTTAACTTCACCATCCTCCCTCTCTCTCTTACACTTGCCTTTATTTTTTTTCAAAATAAAAGTTAGCTGAATTGCTTTAAACATTGGTTTAGTGATATCAGAACAGAGCGGGGCAGAAAAGAAGGTTTATTTCGTCGTAAGCATGGTACAGCATATAGACATAGACGAACAATATGTACATGGCAATAATATCATATGTTTATCCAAATATTGTCTTTAATGGTCTCTAAACTAACTGTTTTGAAAGTAAAAAAAATCGCTTTCCTTTTATAATATTAAAATGATATGTGTGTGTGGGTGCAAGCAAGTAAGCTATCATGTTTTCACGGACTTAATAGAAACAACTTTGCTTTTTTGTATAGACAACAGTATTCATTTCGTGGAAATGTAACCATAAATTATTTACCAGTCCGTCACAAAACGAGAAGACAGCAGTATCGTCTGCTTTTGTTTTTAAACTTCCAGACATTACACAATCGCTAGGTTCAATATTGTCTACTGTCTCAGAGTTGCCATTGGACACAAACACAACTTTAGCGTCTTTGTTCATCACAGGTTGCGCGTGTTTCAGTAAGATTTCAAATCTCACGTCGTCTGCTTCAATATGAAGTTCTACATGTGCGCCGCTTTGTTGAAGTGTGTCACGTATATGTCGTCTGCTTGTAAAATTGTTAAAATATTGAAATATTTCGCATGGTTTTAAAGGGACTTCACTGATTTTATTTTGTCAAGACGGGACTGGAAATAATATTTCGAGATTAATGTTCCATTGAATATAGGTCTGGACCAATAAACTGTTTGCAAATTTCAGACTATTCGCTCATACCATTTTTCCAGAAGTTTTATTAAAATCGTGAAAGGGACCCAGGATTGAATAGCGTTTTAGTGCTTTTCACTAAAATCAGGATAAGACTAGCACAAAACTACGATTTTCAATTCAATTCAGAATGTATTTCTAAATAGTATTTGCATATGCCCCAAATTATCTATGGAAAAACTTCAAATTTTACGGTTTTAGACTTTTGAACCCTAGCGGAGTTCCTTTAATATAAATCTCTAAATTAAGTTTTATATATGTGTGTTTTAGTATACGCGTCCGTTGGTAAAACAAAATATATTGTGACATAATAATTTGAATTTGAAATGATAATATGACTATATTTTTGTAGTTTAGAGCCATACAGAATAGCTTTTATAGTTATATGCATGAAATAAACGTTTAAATGTTCTATTTTCATTTATGAAGCTCCACTGAGTTCATAAAGCTTAAAAATTCCTACATATATCAGCTAGGCACTTAAAACAGAAACATATGCAAAAAATAATGAAGAAATATACTCGGATTGAATTGGAAATCGTTTAATAGTGCTACTTTTAACCCGATTTGAGTCAATTTTAGGTCACTTTGCACAAAAAGAATAGTTATTCAGGAAAAACAGAGTGAGCAAACGATCTGAAATTTTGCAGACAAGTTATTGGATTATTGGTCTAGATATACATCAGATGGAGCATTTATCTCGTAAAATTGTTTCCAGTCCCGTTATGTAAAAAAACCTCAGTGGAGTCCCTTTAACAATCATGCAGTGTGTTAAATTTTTAACAATGATTTACTTTATCTTTATAACACCATATAAACATCTTTATGAAAATGTAATGTCATTTATGAAATAAATTGATATTTTAATGAAAGGACTAGTTTAATGTTATGATTTTTTAATATTTACAAAACATTTAGGACAAAAACCCAAAACAAACATATCTATAACTTCTTTTGATGTAGTGATAAAGATAAAAAAAACGTAGCGAAATAAAGTACGTTTACTATTAAACTTATAAAAAAAGTAATGATATTATCACGGATGTTCATAGCGTGAGTGAATCATACGAGATGTGAACGTTTTGTGCGCTCAAATTACATTGTAAAAATAGAAAACAAACAAGACCTGTGTAGAATTTCGTCTTCTTGCTGTAGTATCTTTATTGAGGCTGATTGAATATGGGTATACCCATCTAAAAAGTAAAAGAAACCGTTTAAGTTACAATATAAAAATCCCGAGTGTTATATTGCAAATAATTTGATGCCATATTATGAGAACAATGTACGTTTTTTGTATATTCATCACTTTTGAAGTATAAGGTATACAACAAAAACATAAAATATCATGTATTAAGTTGTAATGAAAAGATGTCGTTTGGTTATTTGTGGTTATGTCATTATAAGGGACTGCCTTTCATGGATGAGATATAAAAACTGCAGCCACCGTTTATCCCTGCGTGATTGTAAGAGGCGACTAAATGGGTTCGAATAACTGGTGTATATGCATCTCTTAGCTCCAGCAGGTGAGGTGGTTTTGATACCTGGTGTTGCTCTGAAGTTTATAAACACCAGGGGTAAGCCAATGTCATCTTTACTGTTTCGCCGGAATATCACCTATACTGTGTATGCGCGCTGTAAAACCAAACAGTCGTGATCTTTAAAATCTTTGAAACCTTGAAACTAATTGAAGGTGAATTCGCTATCGTATAACAATACAAACCGAAGGTAATTGTAAAAGCAAATTAAAAATAATTTAGTGTACAAACATATTGATTAATTTGCAAATCAATCATTTAATGTCATTAATTATAGACTGCCAATTCTGTTACATCTTTGAAACATTGTAATGCATTACAGAACAGAACAGACAGAAATTACAGTAGCTATCACATTGCGCGTTTAATTAGTGACATACATAATGTAACACATCATAACATTTATCATTTCATCACATTATTCATTTGGGTAATTAACTTTAAAACATTCATTATATAACTGGTCAACTGTGATTTGATAATATTAGTATAATTATCATTTTAATTTTGTAATTAATTATTTGCATCTTTATTGTAACGGCGTGTCAAATAGTCGTACGATTTCATAAATAAAAATGAGCAATTAATTTACAATTTGATACTGAGCGTTGTGTGATTATTTATTGATGACAAAGATTAAAATAACTCGTAAATAATGTTTAAAATGATTGTCTCAGAACCATGAACATCTGAGAGGCAAATATTATGTACATTTATAATGATAATTATGTTGTAAAAACTGATGTTGATGAATGACCCCTACCTTGTCACTCCCACCCCTATACCCCATTTACCGGTATTTACAAGGAAAATTTCTTTTGTTTTCACGTTTGTAGTAAGAGATTTTTTTTAAATTTCACATGAACATACATTTTATATGTCTTATAAAAAAAGTCTTATGAATCTTGATTGGTACTAATTGCTTAACATGTATTTTTGTAAATATATATACATGTACCTTGACATAATAACTGTTCTCGAGAAAAATAAGTATGTTATTGAAATAAGATAAAAAATATCTGGAAAAAAGGGATGATTCTCAATCAATGAAACCAACAATATAATATGAAACCGCCGATTGGGTTAAATTAGTTTGCTTATAAGAGATAATGTAGAAGTCCTTTATATCTCACCCCCTAGCACCGGCTTAATTGATACTGAATCTTAAACAGTAACATACTGAAATATGTAATCCAGAAAAAGTGCAAGCAACGTTTTACAGCTGCCATTCAACACTTTACACCTGCTGTTGTGTAGTAAAGGAGCAATCCCTCGGAAGCAATAAAAAATCAGTGCAAATTACAGACTCGGTTTGATTGGGTCTGCTTATGAGAGACAACGTAATTGCAACATATCTAACCTTACGAAACCTAATAACGGATAAGCAGTTTTTTTCTGCAGCTACTTTTTTCAATATTTATCTTAAAGGCACATTATACCTCAGAAACGAATAAAATAATTTTAGATATTTTGAATAATAATTTACCTTGTCTTAAACTTCTCTTGCGTATATGCTCCTCGGATTCTGTGACATCGTTTGCTTTTATTGCACATATCTGAAATAAAGATACAGAGAAAAAAATATATATTCTGTACACATTTCAGATAATGTCAAACGTGAATCTCAAAGGTCCGCCGGCTTAGATTAATGCTGACAACATCAGCTAAATACCTAGGGGTCGATGTTTCGATTTTCTTGCGTGCCAAAATTTCTTCTTGACAATTTATCTCGGACATTGAATGTTATTATTCTCATTGCATTTCTATTGCCAGTTAAGATATCATGTGAGTATAGTAGTCGGTAACTTCTAGAGAAATTAGTAATTACAGGTTAATTAAGTAATCCACGAGAGACTGTCAAGTGGTCCAACGGTCGAAATATGTGCTGAATTCGGCGTAAACATCAGCCTGCCAGCTAGCCAACCAATCGACCAAATCATCGACCGAAAAGCCAAGCAAACGAACGAAGAACAAGCAAGCAACCAACCAACCAACCGATTCACCCACCCTACCAATGAACCAAACAACCAATCAAACAATCAAGTTCATGTTGATTTAAATCGAATAGTTTTTACTCGTGTCAGATCATCCCGTATATTATAAGAATTCGATACATAACAAAAGATGATGCATTATTGATTAGAACGTTGGAAACAATTAATTGCGGGAAAACCATCATGAAATCTTAGCTTTATTTGATTAGCATAGCATTCATTCGAATGAGGAGCTTAATATTTAGCCTTATTCAATGATTATATATCCATGTTTCAGGCGGTATTCGGCAAAAAGTTTCAAATTTTTAATAATAAAAGTATATTTGTGATTAAGTTTTAGTATTTTGATTCATTGTTTTTATTTATAGTTGCTGGCTTTCTAAGTCATGTCACACCTGTAAAATTTATGTTGCAATTTCGCAACTTCATTTGTGGGTAGAAGCACAGATACCATCGTGTGAAGTGTTTAATGTTAGAGAGAACCATCAACTAAATGATTGCCCTTGAGCGGGATTTGAACCGACCGTAGTGAGGAACAAAGATTAAAGGTTATTTTTCACTAACCGTTAAGCCATAAAGGCTATATTTATTGTTTATATGATGTTTTACTAACGGAATAATCTGCCGATCATTTCCAATGGATGAGCCAGTGCCTAAAAGTATGTTGGGAAACCACTGATATTTAAGAAACACTTTGTTTATATCAATACAATTTCACAGCATTAGACTTTAAGCAACGTGTAATACCAAATAAAACCAAAAATCTATAAATCCAAAGAAACAAATGCAGATTAGCAATATATAAACTAATATTAAGAAAATAGCTTAATGGATTTTCGCTTCATATGACATCCCATAACATCCTACAAATGTAACCTTGAATACAATTATTTCCTTGTTTATTGTAACAGGTTTTCATAACTACAATGCTTTATTCCTCATCGGAATACTCTTAAATGGTTTGGAAATCATGCATCATTATTCATTTTATAGAAAAAAAATGTGATATATCAAATTTCTCATGAATTTTATCGGGCCACAAAAGTTTAACAAGATGCCAGAAAAATAAACAAATGTAAATTATGATCAATGCTTGGAAACGAATATCACTTTAGAAATAATGAGGTTAATAATATACGTTGATTGTAAAGTCCACGGTAAGAAAAAAAAGAAACTGATGAACATGATTCGAAACTGATGAAAAAAGGTGCAATGGTTTGGTGGTTGATATTTTTGTCGCTCAGCCCTGGGATCATGGGTTCAAGCTCTACCTGGATCACGACCTTGTACGACTCCAGTACTGGCTTGTTTCAGGAAGCAAACTAAAAGTATGTTAATATGCTTACTAATTTTTTAACTTGTATTTCACTTACGACATTCCATAGAGAAAAAAAAATAAACATAGTTTCCCCTTGTCCAACATATGTTTATTTAAAATGAAATTACAATATTGCGTTTTGCTTTCAAAGTTAGTATTGTTTTTATTTTCAAATCATTTTCAAATGTTCAATCAATCAATCAATTAATCAATCAATCAATCAATCAATCAATCAATCAATCAATCAACCAATCAATCAATCAATCAATCAATCAATCAATCAATCAATCGTTTTCATTACCCACACATTTTCTTACTTATTAGCTTTTAAAGAAACATTTAACAATGTTTAAACACAAATATGATAGTCATAGTTCAAGCTAGGAAAAGTATAAACATATTGTGAAATAATACTTTACATTGGCGTGAACCATTAAAATAATTCATTTTGTAACTCATTTAATATTCTCTTTAAAGATCAAACGATTGCTTTGTTGCCATTAGTTCTTCACTGTTCACTAAACATACCAGTTTATATGACTGATATACTGAAAGTGTATACTCAATTGCATCGATAAATGAGCCGTGTCACGACAAAACCAACATAATGGGTTTGCGACCAGCATGGATCCAGACCAGCCTGCGCATTCGCGCAGTCTGATCAGGATCCATGCTGTTCGCTATCAGTTTCTCTACTTGTAATAGAGTTGGTAAGTGGACAGCATGGATCCTGATCAGACTCCGCGGATTCGCAGGCTGGTCTGGATCCATGCTGGTCGCAAACCCATTATGTTGGTTTTGTCGTGACATGGCTCAAATGATAATTCTTGGAATTCTAGGGATATAAAATATTACAGTTTCTACCAAAAATAACAACATTGAAATTCAACATGCTTCAGTGATGTTTTTGATACCGCAGAAAACAAATCAAATGATATTACCAACAATGGAGTATTTGTTTGTTTATTTTGATATTCTACAAATCATATTAGATGTGAACAGTGATATAATAGTATTTCATTTCAGACAAAAAAAAGAAGAAGAAAAAATAAAGTAAAAAAAAAGAAGAAAGAAAGCGTCACTGGGTTTAGTGGCACAATTTTTTTTTACTTTTATTTCACCACTCTTTTGATAAGAAAATAAACAATAAAAACATTATGTAAATAGTACACGTTTTACACTTATGGAGCAATGATACCACTACGCCTTCATAGTTATACGATATTTATATAATGTAACAAGAACCAACCATCAAACCACCGGGGCAAAAATGACTCTATATGCACGCTATCTAAATTTACGATAATTTTCCTTTTTGCTGCTATCCGAGCGGCTATATTTACTCTCAGTGGTTTATAAAAAAAATGAATAAAATCGCGTATAAAGGTTTTACATGATATTCAAGAGTAGTATTGTTTGATGAAATTAAAATTTAAAAGTCGCATTAAATCCTTACTTCAATTATTACCAAGTACTTGTGAGGAGTCACTGAATTATCATAAACTAATTTGTTTAGCACCCGAATTTAACGTTAATAAAGAAGTGTACAATGTTATCTGCTAACGACTTATTTTAGTAACATATTAAAGCAATTTATTCGCTTAGATCCTTTAAGAAGTTTGAAAACGTATATCAATGTTCATTGAAAATAAGGCATGTCTTATATTGACATCAATCATGACATTTTTGTTTTAGTCTCAGCTATTTTAGTACATGAATACAAGCTTATAAATGTATGTATTTGTATACGGCATATACGAAACATTTACTTACTAGGTTCTTGAAGTAATACCAGATTTTGCTTTTATTGTTTCAAATATTACAGACATCTTTTGTGTAAGAAATAACTCACAGCATAACTCGCATAAAATGTAAAACACAAATCAAATTAAATGAGGTAATACTGACATTCTTTCTGATAATCAATTTACGTAATTAGAATTTCTGATAATCATGACAATCACGAGAGATCGATCAAAAAAAAATCCTCTGTATAGACAACATAAAGTTAAAGGCACATTATGCTTCGGAAAGGAATATAATTTTATTTCTTTAAAAATGACACACATGTATTTCATTATGTTTATTATTGTTTTAGAGCATGTTAGATACGTCTAACATAAAGGAAGTGACACTTAATGTGAAAATATATTGTCATAAAAGAAGCAAAATGTAAACAAAGTAGTATTTTCACTTCCATAAAAAATTCTACAACACTATAGCTGTACTAATTGTCAAAAGCACAGGAAGAAAAAGATTATTCCTGTTATTAGCCCGTGGGCAATTTTTTTTGGAAACTTTCAGAGTACAAAAAATATATAAAGCTTTTGAGAAATACAGATGAATGTATTTCTGTGGCATTATGGACCTTTAATACTAAATGGCCTTACAAGAATTGGAGAGAGTATATGTTCATGGAATATTTGCTGATATTTAGAGTTTATTTTACCTGAGGAATTATTGGATAAAAATAAACCCTTTTGTTTTGTTATATCATTGCATATATGCGCTTTAAAGGCACATTATGCCACAGAAATACATGTAACTGTTTAAGTTTTAGAAATATTAAACATGTATTTCATAATGATTTAATTAATTATAGATTAAGAGCATGTTTAACAACCGACTAAAGTAGCGCTGAACTTGCAGTAATAAGTTGTAAAGGTAGCAAAAATGTAAACATAGTAGTATTTTGACTTCCATACAAATTGCTAAATACAACATACCAATTGCTAACAAGGAAAAGATCCTCTATATGCCAATGAGTATGTTTTGAGTATGTTTTAGAAACTAACAAATTACCAAACATAAGTTTTTGACAAAAAATAATAAATAAATAATAAAAAATGGTACTATTTCTGAAGTACAATGGGCCTTTTACTAAATACTTGCTCGTATACTTATGATAGAAATATGAAAGTATGAAATGAAACAATATAGATAATAAATAAGTAAAGCAAATGTCAGTAGTGATGTGAATGAGCTAAAGGCTTACATCTTGACCTGCCACTTGAATAATATAATAGCTTACAAGTGCTTGAATATTTCAACAACAATGCTTTGAGATGTTTTTACCAATGTTTTTACCAATGTTTTGAATTGTTTTTTCTGATGCTTTGAGATGTTTTACGAATGTTTTGAAATGTTATATCAATGCTTTGAAATGTTTTCACCAATTCTTAGAGGTGTTTTTACCAATACTTTGAAGTGTTTACCAATGCTTCAACAATGCTTTGAAGTGTTTTACCAATACGTTGAGATGCTTTTAGCAATGCTTTTTGGGATGGCTTTACCAATGCTTTGAAGTGTTTTGTCAATGCTTAGAGATCCCTTTGCAGGTTGGGCTTCTGGGGCCTAGTGGTTAAGGTCGTTAATTTCAAACCATTTATCCCTAGCCACTGTGGGTTTGACTCCCACAATGGACTTTTAATTCTTTCATGTGATGAAGTTATTTTCAGGTGTCGTTCCTGAAATAATGCACGGAGGAAACATGAAGTCTTCCCCCGCGGTAAAGCTGAGTTGTCATAGTGACCTGTACCGTGCTGGTGCGACGTTAAACTCAACAAACAAGGGTGCTTTGAGGTGTTTTAAGCAATGTTTTGAGGTGCCGTAACCGGAATCTAGTTATACCTTTACTTGCGTTTAGATATGCTTTAACCAGTGGCAATTACTGATACAAATACGTAAAAACCTAGAGCTTTAATCACTCACTACATTTGATTTTAACTTGTTACAATCAATTTAACGGAGATAAAAGAAACATGAAAAATGTATGTTGTCAGATACTATCTAATGATGTTCATTCTCGTACAATGACAAGTGTTAAGTCATAGCCTAATACTGTATCAATTATGTACAATTATGAATGTTGATGTATTTGCACATTTTGCTGAAATAATGCACAGAGGGGACCTGAAGTCTTTCTTTGCGGTAAAGCCGCGTTGTCATAGCGACCTCTTTTTTTATTTTACTTAAAATATTAAAGAAAACAAGACACTTACATAAAAGCATTACGTCAAATATGCCGGTAGTCGGCTCAATTTATCATTATAAATTTATTAATTCGTTATTGTTTCAAGTTTTAAATTCCAATGTATTGTCATGATTTGATCCAGACGTACATGACAGCGGAACGTTTTTACTTCAAAAGAATATTAAGTCATAAGTTGAGGATAAAGGACTTGCTAGCAAGTACAGGAATTCCAATGTTAAAAGAGAATATGATTTAATAATTCATAATAGTCTGTCATACTCTACTGGTGTATTTGTACTGATGTGCTTTAGTTTGTAAAAGGGTAAAAAGATAAGAATTGATATTTTCGTTGTTAACAGTTGATTGTTTTGATTGATTTGATTAAAATAAATTTAGGAAAAGGTTGATTGCTCCACAGATTGGACTGTATCTTATTGCAGAGGCTAGACTGTATCATATTAAGGTAGAATATCTTTTAAAGGAACACTTACAGAAATAATAATTTCAATGTTCAGTTTTGTAAATAATTTTACATTTAAACTAAGATCTTCATATGATAAAAAGAAACTGCATTTCATCAGACCAACCATGAAAAAAGGAGACAAAAATAATTTTCCTATACCACTTATAATTACTAAAAACTAAAAAATGTAACTTTTGGTGGATAAAATATTCAATTTTCACACTGAAGACCTTGTTTGCAACATCAACAATCTCAAAGTTTCTTTTTATGAATTTCAGCACGAAATATAAATACTTTATCTAAATAATCTTGGATATGTATTGTTGGCACGCAATGATATTTAAATTGATTTAAATATGTTTTACTTATAATCTTATCTCTTATATATTCAATTATATATAATACAATCATGCAAATTCTATAAAAAAATATTACCTGTTCAAACAAAGCACCCAAAATAATAATGCTGAAAGCACGTAAAAGTTCATCAAATCTCATTTTTCCTAAACAGTTCAATGTAAAATCCTCATTGCCAGTTGCGTGTTAATTGTCCTTGTACTTCCTACTTCCACATTTAAACTGTTACTTGTTACTATGTACAGAGCATGGACAGATATAAACTATGTTTCCACCGTTTACTAGTATATATATAATCATCCGGAGAGAGAGTTTCACATTGCACTTGCTTACGTTACTCGGTTTGTTTATTGGAAAACAATACATCTAAGTATATCGTGAGACGGTATCTCTTAAGATAAATCAGATATCCGTTTTCTGAATTAAACGTCAGTTATGAATTTTTTTTCCATTCTAAAACTATATATGTTTAAATTTGGACCTAAAGCAAATATATAATCAGTTCAATAAAAACAAACGCTTTTCTTAAGCTTTCGACGTTTAGTATTGACGTTTATAAAATAACAAATGACAAATGACGCAACGTCCGTTTAACTATACGCTAAACGGAACGTGACGTTAACGCGGGAATAAAAACTTTGTCAAATAAATACAGAATCTTTCATGAATATAAATACAGCAATATACAATAAATTACACTTATCAGATAAACAGCGGCGCAGGAGTGTAATAAAGCCATTTAATAAAAACGATATTACACTAGACGATATTACACTAGTGTAATAACACTTTGACGTCACGTCATTTGCGCTATAAACATAGCGTTAAAGCGCGCTAATGTTAGTGTGACCACTATAGGCGCGTCAAATAAAAGTGACTCTTGTAAAAAGTTTACCGTTCTTATTTCATATATGTGATAAATGGAATATTTTATTTAATTTTACCCATGAAATATGTTGCTATATCAGTCAAATATATTTCATATTTGTAAAAAATAAATATGAAATATAAATATGAAAGTGGGCGGAGTCAAAACTCATATTTATTTAAGGGGACTTCTTTCGCCATTTTGTTTACAAAAATCTGATAAATAAATAACAACTTTTTGTTGAATTTTGATTTGAAAACAATCTAGAATGATAGAAAATGGTCTAACTAAGAAAATAAATCCGAACACCAATATCTTTAATTCAATCGTTAACACTGTACAGACGTTTAAAGTGTTGTTTACGTGACGTCACAATGTAGCGCTAAATATCGCGTGCAAAACAAGACAATAATAATTATAATACTGCGCGCTGTACAATTGCAGTTGCGTAGCAATCAAGGTGGTTCGTTACCATTTTTCTTTGATAATGAAATTAAATAAAAAGGTTATTTTTTCGTTTTTCGTGAAATATGGTATATATTTTCACGAAACATGATAAAATGCCACATATTTTCACGAGCCGGGACGGCGAGTGAAAATATGTGGCATTTTATCATGTTTCGTGAAAATATATTCCATATTTCACTCAAACGAACAAATATCCTCTTAATATTCGTGTAGATTCAATACTAAATTTATTGAACTCGTTGAATAAAACAATATTATGCTCGCCAGAGGCCCGCATAATATGATTTTATTCAACTCGTTCAATTAATTTTGTATTAAACCTACACTCATTCAATATCCTCTATATATAATATGGATCTGTACATGTGATACAAAAATTCTCATAATTAATAATAATAAAAAAAACCTTGATATGAGAAAAGACATACTACATGTATATGTATACCGGCTCAAAAATGACAAAGTTATATATTGTACAAAACCTTTGCATTTATACCATTAGGAGATAATGTGTTAAGCTTATGAATCCAGTATGATTCTTGTAATATGCGTTCCATTACATCGGTGACAATCTCTATAGGCATAAATTTAAAATCCTTAATACAATTATTGGTTTTATTTAAGTGTCGACATTGGTCGAAAATAACGGATCGGAAAAATTGTTGATATCAAACCTATGGCTATTCATGCGTTTAGACACTTGTTGCTTCGTTTGACCAACATATTGCTCTTTACATTTATCACAAGTGACAAGATATATAACATTTTTCGTAGAACAATCAGTATTGTTATTTACATGATAATTCTTACAAGGAATATTAGTACTACTAAATATATTGCTTTCAATAATGGAGCTGCAATGTGTACATCTACTTCTATTACATTTCGATGAACATTTCGCATTTTTGTTATTAGACCTAATATTAGAATTAACGAGAATGTCTTTTAGATTTTTAGGTCTTTTAAATGCAGCCAAAGGTTTACTTTCATGAAGCTTTTGCACAGAACATTTACTTGAAAGTTTAAGTAAATCCCAATACTTTTTAATTATATTACTAATATTAGGTAAAGTTGGGTTATACTCAACAGCAAAGGGAATGACACTGCCATCACTTGTTTTGTTGTTAGTACACAGGGCCTCATCCTGTGTTAGACATGAAACCTTACTAAGTGCATTATCAATAACATTGATAGGATAATTTCTTTCTTTGAAGTATGTACGTAAATTCTGTAAAGAATCGTTGAAAACATTATCGTCAGAAATGATACGGCGATAACGTTTTCCTTGACTGTACGGAATACCATTTTTACAAGACACTGAGTGACAGGAAGAGTATTCTAAATACTGATGATTATCTGTCTTTTTAACAAGTATATCAGTGTGAATATTATTGTTTTTGTCTAATGAAACGTTAAAGTCTAAAAATGATACGAATGATTTAGAAACGTTCGTTGTAAATTTTATAGATGGATGAAAGTTATTCAAACTATCAATGAAAGCATTCAAATCATCAAGGGAATAACTCCATATACAAACTATATCATCAAGAAAACGGAACCATAAACTAGGTTTTAAAGAACGTTGGTTTAAAAAGTCATTTTCAAATTTACCCATAAAAAGCGAAGCGTAAGAGGGTGCCATAGAACTTCCCATTGCTGTTCCCATTTCCTGTATATAATGATCACCGTTGAATTGAAAGTTATTATTTTCTAGGACTAAGGAAAGAAGTTTACATATTTCATTACATGAAAGTTTTTTGGGGGGATTTCTTTCTAAAAAATGTCTGCAAGATTCTACTCCGTCTGTATGGGGAATGATTTACAACCGGAAACGATCGGACGTCCAGGATAACCTAAAGGGTACAGTTCACTATACTGCTTATGAATTTTAGGAAGGATATAAAAGCCGGGAGTACGTACATCTACCGGAAAAATGTCAAATTTATCTAATATATTCACGTTAACCTTACCTTATTCATCAATACATTTTAAAATATTGCTATGAATTGAAGATGACGGATCATGATCGAGTTTAGTATAATACTGGGGGATTTTTTTTTACCTAAAGCAAAGAAATTTACTAACAGTTAGTTTAAACGTTTCACCTTTTGTACAAGTTTTATCCAAGTTGTGCATAATTTTGATTTATTTTGTGGCAACTGCGACTTGCTACGGAAGGTATTTCTATTTCTTGATACATATGCATTACTTTTAATTCTTTATTATGAATATTTAGAAACCCTTTTACTTACAATAAATTTCATTTATGTAATTATTATAATTCAACATTTGTTATGATAGGTTAAATGTCAGTTATCAGATAAATCTTCACCAAGTATTGACAATCTTGAAGAACTACTTGCACCTAACATGCTTTAGATAAAAAAAGTTCCAACATAACTGTTTAAAGCAAACGACACAATATACCTGTACTAATTAAAATACTGGTTAAAATTGAATTCTTGTCGCCCCCGCCACCCCACCCCCCTCGCCATTCAAACGTCACCCCCCTCCCAGAAAAAAAACATTAATGTAAAAGAATCGGAGGACACATTATAAATGAAAACTTACAGAAATAAAATGCAAGTCGTTATGGAACTTATTCAATTAAACAAACACAATTGTTGAAATAGAAGACACTACTAGATAATTTGTAAATTGAAACTGATGAGATTTAAAAGAGTTTAACAATTGTGCAATCGATGAATTGTTAACACGAAAGACGTGTAACCAGTTCCTGTGTACACACTTACACTATTTAATACAAACTTAAATTATCAACATGATTAAAGTAAAAAGTACTGTCATGTCATTTTGTTACATACATAAATGTTCAAAATATTATCATTATAAAGTTAAGATCAATGTAAATGAAATATGATTTAAATTTTAATAATAATGATTAAACTACAAAGAAAAGGCAATTTAACTTGATACATGATTAAATATTCAATATGATTTAAGTACAGCCAACACATTTTGTTACCGATTTAAATGCTCAAAATGACTTTAGTACAAAGTAAAGACTATTCGATCTCATTCATACTTAAATGTTCAAAATGATTTAAGTACAAACATAAGACAATTCAACTTCACAAATACTTAAAGTTTAAAATGATTAAAGTATGAATAAAGAGCATTCTACTTGGCACATACATAAATGTTTCATGTAATTTGAGCACAGGATCAAGATAATTCACATTGATACATGATTAAATGTTTTTTTTTTTTCCAAAATGATTTAAGTACAAAGTGACGAAATTCAACTTCACACATACTTACATTTTAAAATGATTTAAGTGCAAAGTAAAGACAATGCAACTTCATAGACACTTAAATATTCAAAATGATTTAAGACAACTCATCTTGAAAAAAAATACCTTAATGTTCATAATGATTTAAAACACCATTCAACTTTAAACATACTTAAATGAAATGTTAAAAATGATTTAAGAACAAAGTAAAGACAATTTAATTTCATAAATACTAAAATGATTTCAGAACAACGTAAAAACAAATCAATTGCATACATACTGATTTAAGTACAAAGTAAGGTCAGTTCAACTAATATAACATGTTACTGAAAATATCATGAAAGGCTATCTCAAAATATGAAACAAATAAAACTTGTTAAGAATTCTGATATTCTCTGATATATTCTTGTCAATAATGCAATAAAGAAAAGAAATAATACGAGGAATTTTATCATAAAACTATAAACTCAATTATACAAACTTCAAACAAAATATAAGTTATAAAATGTTCATTATTTAATGTAGAAATAAGTTGAATGACCTTTCATATTTGACAAATATTATCTTGATTCAAATGAGGATAAAAATCTGGAAAAAAACTTCTGACTCAATTAATAATATAATTAAACAGTAAATCAAAATAATGCATTGACGTGTAAATAATTATACTTTGATATTCCATCAACGAATTTTAGAACATTTTGGCGAGCCATCTAGTCAACAAAGTAAATTGTTCTACTGACTTTTCTTGTTGGATTTATAGGCCAAACCGACACTGAAATTGTCAAATGGCGAAGTTTCCAGCTCTACTTTTGGAGGAAGAAAATCTAAGGTGTACCATTGTCAATGCATGTTAAACTCAATTTACTTTTGATTGTATTGTTTTTTGTTTTG